CCAGTGCATGTACCTCCCATAGCCCTATATATTGACCCATCTGTAACTCCCATGAGGTGAGGGGTGGGGTGAAATCTGGTGTACTAGAGATCCCATTCCTGCTACTATCCTAGATGCAGGACCACTCTCTTGCATGCATACCACCTGATGGATAGGACTTGCCTATGCTGATGTCATTAAAACATGTATCTTATCACCCTTAAGGTTATTTTCTTCTACAGTTCCTGTGGCCTGGACTAGCCCCCTGGCTGTAGCTGCCACGTGATGATTGCTCTGAGCTCCCTACCCATTCAGCTACTGACTGCCTGTGGAATGGGCGAGCTATGGACTAAATCTGCATAGGATTTTGAACTCAGCTGAATTCTCAGGATAATCCTCAAGCAATTACTGTTGTTATTGCATGTTGTTAGTCTGGTTACAGTGCTCCAGTTTTCTCGCACAGGGGCCATTGCAGAAGATGGGGGTGAGTAGATTGTGAGGTAAGATTTCTGGAGGGGTGGGCTGTGGGTAAAATTGCAATATTTCCAGAACCTCTCACCTGGCCTTAGTGCATCTCTGTATCAGTAGGTGTTTCCAAGGGGTGGAGAGAGGTAGTCCATCTCTATAGCAATCAGTAATTACCAGGGGAGTGAGGGAATATGTGGAACAGAGAAGTAGGGTGGGGCCCTTTTCTGCAGCCAGGTTGGGAGAGACATGGTGAGAAGAAGTGGATGACTGCTTGTAGGCAATAAATGGGCTTATCCCACCTTATTTCTCCCTTTGACTGATTTTGGTTCAAAGGTCTTCCGTCCTGGGTTGGGAGAATATTTTCCTCCTGGAGTTACACCTATAAATAAAGAAGTTTTTCAAGGCATCAAGCCTATAATAGATGACAAGGCTCAGGGCTTCCCCCCTGTGCACTGGTTCCTGTGATGCCCCTAACGGCTGAGGATGGAGGCTTGCCCAGCACCTCTGAGCAATAAGCAACTTTGTTATCCCTCAGCACCCTGTTCCTAACTCCATGAGGTACTGTGACCTACTGAAAGCAAATTTTACACTGTAATTAATCTATGCAGTATATTTTTTTGTATTCCATTTGATAAGAATAGCCAGTGTCTTTTTGCTTTGATTTGGGAAGACTGGAACTACAACTGGACAGTAATGCCCCAGGGTTTCACAGACTCCTTATTTTCCACAAACCTTAAAAGCTAATTTAGATGTACAACTTTTTTCCTGCAAGATCTGCTTTGTTAGAATACCCAGATGATTTGCTTCTCTGTTCCCTTCTCAAACTTCTTCATAGGAAGGTAGCATCCACCTGTTAAAACTTTCGGCCTTAGAGGAACATAAAGTCACCAAAAGAAAAGCTGCAGTTGCTCAAACTCAGCTTTCGACACCTAGGGCATCTGATCTCAGAATAGAACTACATTTGGATCCAGAGGAAATTGCTCACAACTGAATGCTGACAGATCATCTTTTGATTCCCTGTGACAACCTACAATAAACTCCTCTAACCAATGCAGATTTTTCATGGTTTACTGATGGTTCTTACTTAAAGTGTGAAAATGGTAAACATCATGCTGTATATGCTATTGTTACTCCTTTTGAAGTCATCGAGGCAGCACCTCTACCTGTAGCTACTTTGGCCATAGCTGGGTTATATTCCCTCACTTGAGCTTGTATCTTAAGCCAAAGGTAAAACTGCAGACTTTTATAGCCAAAGGTGTGTCTTTGAGACAGCCCATGACTTTGGAAGATTATGGAAACTGTGAGGTTTCCTAACCTTCAATGGGGATAAAATTGAAAATGACCTCTATATCCAAAGTTTATTAGATGCCATATTTTTTTCTCTGGCTATTAAGGTTCCTGGCATTCTAGACTTAACTCCATGAGGGCCAAAGGAAGTCACTGTGCTGATATTTCCACCAAAAGTACTACTATCAAGGAACCAAATAGATAAATTTATGTCATATTCCAAAGAGATGTTCTCCCAAATGATAGTTCGGAAAAACTTACCAGAGATGCCCAAAAATTGGCCCCAGAAAAGGAAATATGATATTGAAAATCTCATAATTATTGATTAGATAAAAGGCGAGAACTCTCGTTTGGACTGAATAACAATCCAGCCCTGCCAGAAATTCAAAAATTCCCACTACTTACTCTATACATGCTTACTACTCACAAAATGACAGCATTCATGAGCCAATATTGGTGGGCAAATAGAAATGAGGCTGCAAAAAGTGCTTATCTTACTTGTCCCACCTGTCCACACAGCCCTTGGCATTTTAAATTTCCAATGAGCCATTCATTTAAGGTTTGGCAAATGAATTTCATACAGTGTCCCCCAGCTCATGGATAAATTTTTTTTAGTTGTGGTTACTATGTTTTCTCATTAGACCAAAGCTTTCCCTTGTACACAGGCTAGTGCTTCTTCTGTGGCTAAAAATTTCTGTTGGAAAAGATTTTCCCTGTCAAATTCCTCTCAAAGCTCAGAGTGACTGGGGAACCCATGTTACTGGACAAGTGCTTTGACTGGTCTGTGCTGTCTGGACAGTTTTACACCACTTTCATTGTGTATGTCATCCTCCATCCTCGGGCTAGCTGTATGCACTGGCAGTATTATTAAGACTCAGTTGGCAAAATTTATAGACATTACAAATACCTTGGCCAAAAGCATTTCCCTTGGTCCTTCTATACCTCAGAACCACCCCTTTGGAACTCATAGACTCTCACCCTTTGAAATAGTCACAGGATGTCCAATGCACTTGGCCCCTGCCTCCTCTGACCCACAGATAAAAAGATATATCTTCAGTATTATAAAGGCCTAATGACTTCTATTAAAAATAACTATGCTTTGGTAGAGCAATTTTTTCACAGTGTACTCTCAGGAGACAATGACTTTATGCGTCATACCCAACCTAGAAATTTCGTGTATTGGAAAAGACAACCCCAGAAAGACTCTTCAGCCTCGCTGGAAAGGTCCTCGTCAGGAGCTGCTAACCAACCCTTGTACTGCCTAACTTCAGAGAATAGACTGTTGGGTTTACATGACATCTAAAGAAAGCACCAGACCCTGATTGGGCCTGCATTCCATCTGGTGACCTGAAAATAAAGATTTCCCAGAACTGAAACAAATGACATTAGGCAAGACAGTTTTCTCAAGATGTCTGGACCATACTTGTATACCTCTTCTCAGTTTGCTGCCTTTCTCTCTTTCATGGGAAGAAAATGACCTTGTCTGCATTTCCTGAACTCTTGCAAAAGGGGGAAACCTCCTCTTTTGCTTATGGCCTTTTTTGAAATAGCCTCATCATGATCCTGTGAGCTTTTTCTGAAAGATCAGAAGGCTCAGAATTCACAAAAGTCTTTTTTTATCTGAATTATTATCTGACTTTGACTCCTTATTCCAAATGCATGGTCTCTGTATTTGCAACTTTACAGGCAGTATTATGAGTTAACAATTAGTTCCCAAGAGTTCTTTTGAGATGAAATACTGTTTTAAAATGTCTTTAATTTTCACTGCTCTGCACAGAGTTCATCAGGTATTGCTTTATGTTAATACCTACACTATATCCAAATGCACTTGGTTATTTCAGTGTGCTCTTGCAGTATTCACTATTCTGCTTTGATAGATGCTTTCAGGGACTTCCAGAAGGCACATACGATTCTGTGTTTGTCTCCGGAGGGAGGACTTTTATGCCCTCAGTTGGGGTAAGTGCCAATAATTCTTTCCGTTGCCTACTTTCAGACCTAGGGTCCTGGTTTAGGACCATAATGCAACTTGAGATTATCATGTTACTTCTTCTGTTATATGATTATTTTAAGTTTTTTATTTTGTTGCCTGTCAAACTTTTGTAAAGGTCATATATATCCAGTAATCAGGTGATCTCCAGTGCTTACAGTCTTCAAAAATACAGACCGTAGGTGGGAAGTGCCTGAGAATTCTCCCTCCTAACCTTTTTAATTACTCAAATGTGGCCTTATGAGGTTTCCTACTTATGTACACTTTTCCTCGACATAGGACAGGAGAATCAGGAAAGGTCCTTCCTAGTACCGAGGGACAAAACCACTAGATATAGAAAACCTGACTGTTGAGCAACGATGCTTTCATAGAAACAATCTTGATCAAAAGCACATGAAAATTAATAAAGGGAAGCCTCCCAGACATAGAATTGGGAGGCCTGCAGGGGGAGCTCTCATGCCCACCACTCCTGGTCAATTGCAGACCCCAGGGAAAAGGACACCTTGCAACTCCTATTTTGGCTACTGTATCATCCAGTAGAAGGAAGAGTTTCATTCTCTGCCAGCAACAGCTCAGCCAATAAGCAGCCAAGACATGTGGGACTCCCAGTTTCCTCCAATAGACTTTTTTTTTCCCTTAGAACAGTCCCCCCAACTCTCCCCGTTCTATAAAGGAGCACTCCTCTCCTTTGCTTTCAGGACATGCCTGTGGTTCTGCCGTAGTTGGTGCTGTTCCCGAAGGAACCCAAATTGACAGTTTTATTTTTAAGGTTAACAAAGTAATGCTCAAAATAGCCCGCCGGAAGCACAGTATTAATCAGATAAGGAAACAGGCTCAGAGGGATGAGTAATCTCCCCAAAAATCAATCTAGCAAAACAGTTGTACTGTCAGATTACATATTCAGGTCCAGAGGCTTTCAGCAGTTCAATGACTCTAATCCCTGCGTCTCCATCCCTGCGTCTCCCCATTCACGGGAGGTCCCAACCAAGCCTCCATTTTCCCAGACCTGTTGCCTGCTCAGAGTGGTGGATTCTGGGATTTGCGGTATCCCGCTGGAGTTTAGACTCTGTGGACCAATAGAATTCGAGCACAGACGGCGATACCCGCCTCAGTTGACTGCTGGTTGCTCAGGGACCCCCTGGAGTTAGCCAATGAGAAGCTCATGGCTCCTTGTTGCCTGGGAAACAGCCTGACAACAAGATGGCGATGCCGCTGGACGGTTCCGTGGCCGAGCCTGGTAAGTCCCAGCTCAAGGCCCTCAGTCCTCCGGAGTTCCCCCACGCAGGCTGGAGCCCGAGCCCCGAGGACCCGTGAGCCTGGCGACCCGACCGTCCTGAGAGTGGGTTCGGGCGCCCGCCTACCGTGGCCAACCGTGGCTAACGCAGCCCCCAGAGTGGGTTACGTAGTGATATAAGTCGCGCTGTGAGCGCTTCCAGCTGGAGATACAGGGCGTGAATGCGTGCAGCCGGCTGGGCGGTGTTGGCGGAGGAGAGCCCTGGGGCCTGCCGGGAACCGGCAGGCCATGCAGCTGTGACACAGGATGTTATCAATCAAGCACAGTCCTTACTTGGGTCCCAAAGATGTGGAGGCTTAGGACACAGCCTTCCTTTCAAAGCCCGGGTCTGAAGGGGAGATAGTCCAAACTTTAGGAGCCCCTGACCTGAGGGGGAAGACACAGTCGCCCCTGGAAGTCCCCAAAGTGAAGAGAGTAGACCTGGCTCTGCCCTCAGGCCCACCCTGGCCCCTCTGTCTGAGGGAGGAGGAGACAGCCCCCTACCCAGGAGTCCCCAGAATGATGCGAAGATGCAGTCGTCACCCTCAGGGGTCTCCTATAATCCATGGGAAAATTAATCCGGAGGCCGTGTGTTTGGATTGGCCTGGAGTGAGGCCGTAGCAGGGAAGTCGGTTGGCGGCCATTGTGACAGCCCCGAAGAATGGCAGGGAGAGCCCACTAGGATGGCTAACAGCGTGGAAAGGAGCTGTGTGGGAGAGACATTGCAAAGCTGACCAGCAGGGTGTGGCAACTAATGGGATTAAGAGAGAAGGGAGGAGAGAAAAACTTGGATTAGATGATGGGCCCGTTAAGAATAGGGAAGTGGGAAGAGCTTATTTTGAGGGATGACTGCTGCGTTTGGCTTGGAGACCAGGTCCTTCTTTTTTCTATAATAGCTCTATTGAGAGTTAATTCACATACTATGTACTTCACCCCTTTAAAATGTAAACTTCAATAATTTTTAAGATATTCTAAAGTCGTGCAACCATCACCACAATTTTAGAACATTTTCATCAGTCTAAAAAGAAACTCTGTGCCTTTTAACAGTTACCCCTACTTAACCCCCAGCTGCCCCCAGCCCTAGGCAGCCACTGATCAACATCGTCTCTATAGATTTGTCTGGATATTTTGTATAAATGGAACCATAGCAAAATGTGATCTTTTGTGACTGACTTAGTTTCCCTTAGCATGGTTTCAAGATCCATTCATGTGGTAATGTGTTCTTTTAATTGCTGAATAATATTCCATTGTAAGGATATCCTTTTGTTGGTTAATGGACATTGGGCTGTTTCCACTATTTGGCTATTATAAATGCTGCTATTAACATGTATACAAGTTTTTGTGTGGACATAAATTTTCATTTCTCCTGAGTATATATCTGGCCCATAATGTAAACTCTGTTTAACCTTTTGAGGAATTTCCCATAGCAGCTGAATCATTTTACATTCCCAGTAAAGTTCCAACTTACATCATTGCCAAAACTTGTTATTTCTGTCTTTTTGACCAGTTTCTTCTGAGGCGCCATTATGGTGATGAGAACTGGGAGAAATAATCAGGTCTGGTGGAAGTTCAGGCAGGGCAGTTTTAGCCGCTAAAGGCACAGGGCCTGGGGCTTGTTAGCATGATTAAAATGTTCTTAAATTGATTGTGGTGATGGCTTCACAACTCTCTAAATATACTAAAAACCATTGAATTGTGTACTTTGAAAGAATTACATATATGAATTATATCTCAATAAAGCTATTTTTTAAAAGGTGACATGTGGTGAGCACTTTGTAATGTATATGTCAAATCACCATGTTGTACACCTTAAACGATTGTAATATTTTGTATTAACTATATTTCAATTAAAACATTAAAAATATATTTTTAAAAGTCACATGCTATGTGCTCCCATTCATTTTTTTTTTCATAAAACATTCTTGAAGAAATTATAGAGATGGCTATAGAGTAGTCATTGCCTGGGTTAGGGATGGTGGAGGGAGGAGGATGGGTGTTACTATACAGGGGTAACATGAAGGAGATCCTCGTGGGGTAATCTTTGTGGTGACAGAATAGTTCTGTATCGTGACAACAGTGGTGGTTACATGAAATCTACATATGGGATGCAATGGCGTAGAAGGATACATACATAAAATGTAATTACTGGGGGACATGGGTGAAGAATACACAAGACCTCTCTGTACTGTTTTCCTAATTTCCTGTGAATCTATAGTAACTTTAAAATAAAAAGTTAAAATGTAACTAAAGAACAGACACAAATAAACCAAAAAAGAGGAGTTAGCCTAATGGAGGGAAGGATGCTGTTAGGGGTGGGGACACCATTTCAGGAAGGGGTTCCAGGCCAGGGGAGCCAGGCGTGCAAAGGCCTGGCACATTTGAGACTTGCCTGGCAGTTCAGAGTATAGGAGTCGGGGTGGGGTCAGGAGATACAGGCAGGGGCCAGATCATCCATGATAGGGAGTTTTAAATTTTTATTCTGTCCGTGAGAAGGAGCCATTGGGAGCTTTTAGCAGGAAAACGACATGTCAGCTTTGTGTATAAGAAGATCCATCTGGCAGCATGTGGAGATGGGTGCAGGGAACCACCACACCTGGCCACGCAAACCATCAGGAAACCTGGATACGACAGCCAGGGGCTGGGACGGGTTGGGGCAGATGTGGGAGGCTGGATGGTGGGTGAGGAAACTCTGGACCTAGTCCTTGGAAGGCTCCTCAGAGGAAGGTGCAGGAGTCCTAGACTCCAGAATGAAGGCTGAGGAGGCTGCCTCCAAGTGGCACAGATCCCCTTGCTGAGTAGCTTCAGTGGCAGGATGGAGGCCGTGCCACTTATTTCCAAAGTGGAACATCTTGGATTTGTCCTAAAAAGAGTCAGGCCCTGATGGGGGTCCTTGGTTCTAGGGTTTCTAGATATTAGCCACATGATATACTTAATCCCTTGAACAGAGTACTGGCCTTTAATTTCATCCCTGGTGTGTGTGCATCTCTCCAGAAGGAGGAGGGAAGGAAGGGAAACCAATGTTCCTGAGCACCCTCTGTGCGCCAGTAACAACAAAAGCCACAACAGCCGCAATTCCCATTTTTAGGTGCTTCCTCTGAGCATAGCCCTGGGCTAGGTGCTCTGTGTGTATCTCTGAATCCCCTCGGAAGCCAAGGCACAAGTTACACTGGTGGGTGGCAGAACCTGTCCAGAGCTTGGGCTCCTGACCTCCCTACCATGTGGACTGTGTCTTAGTCGAATCCTGTATTTGGGGTGCCCCTCTGGAATATGAGGGTAGGGGACACCTGTGTGTTGTGTTGACCAGCTTCTTGACAGTTTGACAAAAGCCCCAGGCCTCCCAGGCAGTCTTATGCCCCAGGCTTTAGGTTTGGGCAAGTCCCCAGCTTCTGGTTTATTGCTGTACATGCCCCACTCCCACTGCTCTTTCCTAAACGCTACCGGGCCAGAGGCCTCCAGGGTCACAGCAGAGAGTGAGACTGTCAGAGGAGCAGGTAGACTTCAGGCACAGGGATCCTGAGGCCGTGCTGCCTTTGCAGGGGAGCAGGAGGGAGGGAGGGTGCTGCTCCCTGCACGGTGCTCCCTCCTCAGAGAAGGAGCCATGGGAGAAGCTTCAGGCTACCCCCTGCTCCTGAAGTCCGGAGCTGCCTGTCCCCAAGGGCTGACTTCCTTTTTTCTTCTCAGGGAGTTCCTGACAGCTAGAATCTAGAAGTAAAACTATGAGTTCACCTTTGGCCTCCCTTGGCAAGACCCGAAGAGTGCCTCTGCAGTCGGAGCCTGTGAATTCAGGGTAAGGAGCCCGCCTCACTGGGTCTCTATGTCCATGCCCCCGACCCCTCCTGTGGACCAGGAGATTGACTTCTAGTGTCTCTGGCAAACGATGAGGAGTTACATGGACCAGCTTCCCCCGATCACCTTCTTGTTCTCTCCATGCTTTCTTCTGGTAGGCTCTACTCTGTATCTACACGTACGTGGGTTGTTCCTTCTGGGAAGCTCTGGGCCCTGGAGTTGTGGCTCAGCACCCATCTCTAGTCATGTTCACGTGTTAATTCCGCAAACACTGGTGGTGCACATAGTCCAGGCTGGGCTCTCAGTAAAGGCACTCCTTTACAGCTGTCTAGCACTTTCATTTTCTCAGAGCATTTTTTACCTTTCTGTGCTCTTCTGAACACCACTTTGAGTCATTCAAAGGCCTAGAGGATCCAGAGAGGTTCAATGACAGGCCTTTCAAAGCAGAGCAGGGGCTGGGCTCCTGGGATCAGCCTGACAACAGGTGAGCTGGGATCAAGAACTTTGGGAGGCTTGCATCCAAGACTCTGCCCTCTGGCTCTTCCCCATCCTCTGTTGGAATGAGTAGGACTCTTGGAAGCCTGACCCTTGGCTTGCCCCTGTGCTGGGATGGGACTGGGGTGGGGGATGTCCTCAAGAGGCAGAGGCTGGCCTCCATTTCCTTTAGGCTTGGCTGGAGACCTGGTACCCAGGGCCTCACCTTTGATGACACTCCAGGGGGTCCTAACTTGTCTGTCTTCCTTCTCCTTTTGGCCTGGATTCCCAGGAGGCAAGGGATAAAGATCTACAGAGATGGTAAGTGTGGAAGTGTGGGTTCTGCCCCATGTCGTCCTCATTTCCCATCTGCTGGGGCTCATTGCAGTTGGGTGGATGGAGAGAAAGAGCGTGATGGACGCTCCTGTCAGCCAGAGCAGCTGGCCCAACTACAGTGTCACATGCAGCTCCCCGAGGACGGGCCTTCCCCCTGGTAGCTCTGATTAGGAGGCGTCACACTCTTAGCAGAGATGTCATCACTAACGGTTGAAACCATGCACCCACTGTGGGGTTGGCTGGTGGGTGCCAGGAACCCATGAGGGGGGCCAGACCCCAGCCCTCCTTCCCCTGACAGCCTCCTCTAGCCCATGACAGCCCTTGCTCTCTGAAGCCCTGTCCTCACACCACTGCCCGGACTCCAGCAGGCTGACCTTTCATACCAACCCCATCTTGCCCCCTCCACAGTAGCACTGGCCACTCAGGTTACCCAGGCAAGATGAGGCCTATTCAGATTGGCTCCTTGCTCCTAGACATCCCGTTTTCTACCCTGGTATGTTGTGGGGCAAAGAATAGGATGCTTCCTCTTGGCCACGGCCCAGGGCCCCAGTCTCCTCTGGGCCTCAGTCCCAGAGCAGTGACCTGGGTCTCTGTCTGCAGAAGATGAGGTGGACGTGCTGAATGATGGACATGGCTTGGAAGAAAAGATCTCCATCCCTTCCTGCAATTCTGGCATAGGTGCTCCTGCGAGTAGGCAAGGTGAGAGGAGTGGCCCAAAGGGGTCTGGGTCCCCTGTCACAGGAGAGGGCCCCCAAGAAGCGGTGAGGCCCAGAGAAACATGGCACCTACTCTCGCCTGCTGGGTCTCAGGAGTTGCTCCCGCTCCTGGCTGACCATGGCCGTGTATCTGCACCTGCAAACCTGTCCAGGGCCTGGTTTGGCATAACGCCACACAGGCCCCACCCTGAGCTCAGGAGGGATAGCCAGGCTGTGGCTGGAGACCCTGGAGTGGCCCTGGCTGGAGTTACCATCCAGTGGGAGGTCAGTGGGTCCGGGATCCAGGGTCTGAAAGGAATGGAGGATCTGAGAGTGGAGCTCAACCTCCAGCCATCTGCTTCCTGCTTCTGCAGGGCTCAGGGCAAGGCCCAAGGTCCCCTGAATAGCCCTCCCACCCTGGCCCAAACCATCTCCAAAGGGCTGCAGTGACAGGGTGATCCTGGAGGTGCCTGCGGTGGGATGGGGCTCATGGGGGTGGCTTCCCAGAGGAGCTGGATTTCGCTGAACTGGGCAGAGGGGAGACAGGCAGGGAGGGTGAGCTGTGCAGAGCACTGGGCAGGGCTAGAGGCAGCTGGGAGCCTGGAGGAGCCAGGGGTGAGGCTGGGATTTTCCACTAGCTGTGATGTCTTGGATAAGGAACTTCCTATCTCCATTTCCTCTATGAAGTGGGAATGAGAACACTAAAGTCAGCTTGTTAATGTGGGGATTCCATGAGACGACCGTCCGCCGAACACCGCTCCCATTTTATAAGTTGGAAAGGGGAGGTCTGGCCTCCCAGCCATTTAGTCACAAAGCCAGCGTCTCGGTCACACTAGCTGGGGACACTCCCAACAGTCAGCCCAGTGACCATCTCCTTCCTAAGGAGCTATCCCCCTGCCCTCTCTGCCTCTCCCCTGCCCTTCACTTCTCACCCTACTCTCAGCCAATGCCTGTCTCCACCATGGCCACAAATAAGGACTTGCCTGTCTTATCTTCTCTGCACAGCAGCATCCACACAGTTTGCCGTTCCCTCCGTCGCGGACCACCCCAGCTCTGGGCCACCACACGACCCCTCTCCCTGGTGGCTTCCTGCCTCCCACGCTCCTTCCTCTCAGCTTACTTTTCCGGGACCTGCCTTTCCTCCCAGCTCTTCAGTGTGATGCTCCTCCGGCCTCTCCCCACACTCTGCGTCAGGGAGCTCCCCAACGCTGCACGTGCTGGCAGCCCTCAGATGTCTGTGGGTCAGTTAAGAAGCTTTTGACTGCAGGTCAAAGAAAACCCTTTAGTCTGCTAGCATGAGCCCTGAGGAGAACTTCCTGTGCCCCATACCAAGACGTCCTAAGGAGGCAGCTCCAGGTTGTCGATCCAGTGACCCGAGGGCATCACCAGCAGTTCAGTAACTAATGGGATTAAGAGAGAAGGGAGGAGAGAAAAACTTGGATTAGATGATGGGCCCGTTAAGAATAGGGAAGTGGGAAGAGCTTATTTTGAGGGATGACTGCTGCGTTTGGCTTGGAGACCAGGTCCTTCTTTTTTCTATAATAGCTCTATTGAGAGTTAATTCACATACTATGTACTTCACCCCTTTAAAATGTAAACTTCAATAATTTTTAAGATATTCTAAAGTCGTGCAACCATCACCACAATTTTAGAACATTTTCATCAGTCTAAAAAGAAACTCTGTACCTTTTAACAGTTACCCCTACTTAACCCCCAGCTGCCCCCAGCCCTAGGCAGCCACTGATCAACATCGTCTCCATAGATTTGTCTGGACATTTTGTATAAATGGAACCATAGCAAAATGTGATCTTTTGTGACTGACTTAGTTTCCCTTAGCATGGTTTCAAGATCCGTTCATGTGGTAATGTGTTCCTTTTAATTGCTGAATAATATTCCATTGTAAGGATATCCTTTTGTTGGTTAATGGACATTGGGCTGTTTCCACTATTTGGCTATTATAAATGCTGCTATTAACATGTATACAAGTTTTTGTGTGGACATAAATTTTCATTTCTCCTGAGTATATATCTGGCCCATAATGTAAACTCTGTTTAACCTTTTGAGGAATTTCCCATAGCAGCTGAATCATTTTACATTCCCAGTAAAGTTCCAACTTACATCATTGCCAAAACTTGTTATTTCTGTCTTTTTGACCAGTTTCTTCTGAGGCGCCATTATGGTGATGAGAACTGGGAGAAATAATCAGGTCTGGTGGAAGTTCAGGCAGGGCAGTTTTAGCCGCTAAAGGCACAGGGCCTGGGGCTTGTTAGCATGATTAAAATGTTCTTAAATTGATTGTGGTGATGGCTTCACAACTCTCTAAATATACTAAAAACCATTGAATTGTGTACTTTGAAAGAATTACATATATGAATTATATCTCAATAAAGCTATTTTTTAAAAGGTGACATGTGGTGAGCACTTTGTAATGTATATGTCAAATCACCATGTTGTACACCTTAAACGATTGTAATATTTTGTATTAACTATATTTCAATTAAAACATTAAAAATATATTTTTAAAAGTCACATGCTATGTGCTCCCATTCATTTTTTTTTTCATAAAACATTCTTGAAGAAATTATAGAGATGGCTATAGAGTAGTCATTGCCTGGGTTAGGGATGGTGGAGGGAGGAGGATGGGTGTTACTATACAGGGGTAACATGAAGGAGATCCTCGTGGGGTAATCTTTGTGGTGACAGAATAGTTCTGTATCGTGACAACAGTGGTGGTTACATGAAATCTACATATGGGATGCAATGGCGTAGAAGGATACATACATAAAATGTAATTACTGGGGGACATGGGTGAAGAATACACAAGACCTCTCTGTACTGTTTTCCTAATTTCCTGTGAATCTATAGTAACTTTAAAATAAAAAGTTAAAATGTAACTAAAGAACAGACACAAATAAACCAAAAAAGAGGAGTTAGCCTAATGGAGGGAAGGATGCTGTTAGGGGTGGGGACACCATTTCAGGAAGGGGTTCCAGGCCAGGGGAGCCAGGCGTGCAAAGGCCTGGCACATTTGAGACTTGCCTGGCAGTTCAGAGTATAGGAGTCGGGGTGGGGTCAGGAGATACAGGCAGGGGCCAGATCATCCATGATAGGGAGTTTTAAATTTTTATTCTGTCCGTGAGAAGGAGCCATTGGGAGCTTTTAGCAGGAAAATGACATGTCAGCTTTGTGTATAAGAAGATCCATCTGGCAGCATGTGGAGATGGGTGCAGGGAACCACCACACCTGGCCACGCAAACCATCAGGAAACCTGGATACGACAGCCAGGGGCTGGGACGGGTTGGGGCAGATGTGGGAGGCTGGATGGTGGGTGAGGAAACTCTGGACCTAGTCCTTGGAAGGCTCCTCAGAGGAAGGCGCAGGAGTCCTAGACTCCAGAATGAAGGCTGAGGAGGCTGCCTCCAAGTGGCACAGATCCCCTTGCTGAGTAGCTTCAGTGGCAGGATGGAGGCCGTGCCACTTATTTCCAAAGTGGAACATCTTGGATTTGTCCTAAAAAGAGTCAGGCCCTGATGGAGGTCCTTGGTTCTAGGGTTTCTAGATATTAGCCACATGATATACTTAATCCCTTGAACAGAGTACTGGCCTTTAATTTCATCCCTGGTGTGTGTGCATCTCTCCAGAAGGAGGAGGGAAGGAAGGGAAACCAATGTTCCTGAGCACCCTCTGTGCGCCAGTAACAACAAAAGCCACAACAGCCGCAATTCCCATTTTTAGGTGCTTCCTCTGAGCATAGCCCTGGGCTAGGTGCTCTGTGTGTATCTCTGAATCCCCTCGGAAGCCAAGGCACAAGTTACACTGGTGGGTGGCAGAACCTGTCCAGAGCTTGGGCTCCTGACCTCCCTACCATGTGGACTGTGTCTTAGTCGAATCCTGTATTTGGGGTGCCCCTCTGGAGTATGAGGGTAGGGGACACCTGTGTGTTGTGTTGACCAGCTTCTTGACAGTTTGACAAAAGCCCCAGGCCTCCCAGGCAGTCTTATGCCCCAGGCTTTAGGTTTGGGCAAGTCCCCAGCTTCTGGTTTATTGCTGCACATGCCCCACTCCCACTGCTCTTTCCTAAACGCTACCGGGCCAGAGGCCTCCAGGGTCACAGCAGAGAGTGAGACTGTCAGAGGAGCAGGTAGACTTCAGGCACAGGGATCCTGAGGCCGTGCTGCCTTTGCAGGGGAGCAGGAGGGAGGGAGGGTGCTGCTCCCTGCACGGTGCTCCCTCCTCAGAGAAGGAGCCATGGGAGAAGCTTCAGGCTACCCCCTGCTCCTGAAGTCCGGAGCTGCCTGTCCCCAAGGGCTGACTTCCTTTTTTCTTCTCAGGGAGTTCCTGACAGCTAGAATCTAGAAGTAAAACTATGAGTTCACCTTTGGCCTCCCTTGGCAAGACCCGAAGAGTGCCTCTGCAGTCGGAGCCTGTGAATTCAGGGTAAGGAGCCCGCCTCACTGGGTCTCTATGTCCATGCCCCCGACCCCTCCTGTGGACCAGGAGATTGACTTCTAGTGTCTCTGGCAAACGATGAGGAGTTACATGGACCAGCTTCCCCCGATCACCTTCTTGTTCTCTCCATGCTTTCTTCTGGTAGGCTCTACTCTGTATCTACACGTACGTGGGTTGTTCCTTCTGGGAAGCTCTGGGCCCTGGAGTTGTGGCTCAGCACCCATCTCTAGTCATGTTCACGTGTTAATTCCGCAAACACTGGTGGTGCACATAGTCCAGGCTGGGCTCTCAGTAAAGGCACTCCTTTACAGCTGTCTAGCACTTTCATTTTCTCAGAGCATTTTTTACCTTTCTGTGCTCTTCTGAACACCACTTTGAGTCATTCAAAGGCCTAGGGGATCCAGAGAGGTTCAATGACAGGCCTTTCAAAGCAGAGCAGGGGCTGGGCTCCTGGGATCAGCCTGACAACAGGTGAGCTGGGATCAAGAACTTTGGGAGGCTTGCACCCAAGACTCTGCCCTCTGGCTCTTCCCCATCCTCTGTTGGAATGAGTAGGACTCTTGGAAGCCTGACCCTTGGCTTGCCCCTGTGCTGGGATGGGACTGGGGTGGGGGATGTCCTCAAGAGGCAGAGGCTGGCCTCCATTTCCTTTAGGCTTGGCTGGAGACCTGGTACCCAGGGCCTCTCCTTTGATGACACTCCAGGGGGTCCTAACTTGTCTGTCTTCCTTCTCCTTTTGGCCTGGATTCCCAGGAGGCAAGGGATAAAGATCTACAGAGATGGTAAGTGTGGAAGTGTGGGTTCTGCCCCATGTCGTCCTCATTTCCCATCTGCTGGGGCTCATTGCAGTTGGGTGGATGGAGAGAAAGAGCGTGATGGACGCTCCTGTCAGCCAGAGCAGCTGGCCCAACTACAGTGTCACATGCAGCTCCCCGAGGACGGGCCTTCCCCCTGGTAGCTCTGATTAGGAGGCGTCACACTCTTAGCAGAGATGTCATCACTAACGGTTGAAACCATGCACCCACTGTGGGGTTGGCTGGTGGGTGCCAGGAACCCATGAGGGGGGCCAGACCCCAGCCTTCCTTCCCCTGACAGCCTCCTCTAGCCCATGACAGCCCTTGCTCCCTGAAGCCCTGTCCTCACACCACTGCCCGGACTCCAGCAGGCTGACCTTTCATACCAACCCCATCTTGCCCCCTCCACAGTAGCACTGGCCACTCAGGTTACCCAGGCAAGATGAGGCCTATTCAGATTGGCTCCTTGCTCCTAGACATCCCGTTTTCTACCCTGGTATGTTGTGGGGCAAAGAATAGGATGCTTCCTCTTGGCCACGGCCCAGGGCCCCAGTCTCCTCTGGGCCTCAGTCCCAGAGCAGTGACCTGGGTCTCTGTCTGCAGAAGATGAGGTGGACGTGCTGAATGATGGACATGGCTTGGAAGAAAAGATCTCCATCCCTTCCTGCAATTCTGGCATAGGTGCTCCTGCGAGTAGGCAAGGTGAGAGGAGTGGCCCAAAGGGGTCTGGGTCCCCTGTCACAGGAGAGGGCCCCCAAGAAGTGGTGAGGCCCAGAGAAACATGGCACCTACTCTCGCCTGCTGGGTCTCAGGAGTTGCTCCCGCTCCTGGCTGACCATGGCCGTGTATCTGCACCTGCAAACCTGTCCAGGGCCTGGTTTGGCATAACGCCACACAGGCCCCACCCTGAGCTCAGGAGGGCTAGCCAGGCTGTGGCTGGAGACCCTGGAGTGGCCCTGGCTGGAGTTACCATCCAGTGGGAGGTCAGTGGGTCCGGGATCCAGGGTCTGAAAGGAATGGAGGATCTGAGAGTGGAGCTCAACCTCCAGCCATCTGCTTCCTGCTTCTGCAGGGCTCAGGGCAAGGCCCAAGGTCCCCTGAATAGCCCTCCCACCCTGGCCCAAACCATCTCCAAAGGGCTGCAGTGACAGGGTGATCCTGGAGGTGCCTGCGGTGGGATGGGGCTCATGGGGGTGGCTTCCCAGAGGAGCTGGATTTCGCTGAACTGGGCAGAGGGGAGACAGGCAGGCAGGGTGAGCTGTGCAGAGCACTGGGCAGGGCTAGAGGCAGCTGGGAGCCTGGAGGAGCCAGGGGTGAGGCTGGGATTTTCCACTAGCTGTGATGTCTTGGATAAGGAACTTCCTATCTCCATTTCCTCTATGAAGTGGGAATGAGAACACTAAAGTCAGCTTGTTAATGTGGGGATTCCATGAGACGACCGTCCGCCGAACACCGCTCCCATTTTATAAGTTGGAAAGGGGAGGTCTGGCCTCCCAGCCATTTAGTCACAAAGCCAGCGTCTCGGTCACACTAGCTGGGGACACTCCCAACAGTCAGCCCAGTGACCATCTCCTTCCTAAGGAGCTATCCCCCTGCCCTCTCTGCCTCTCCCCTGCCCTTCACTTCTCACCCTACTCTCAGCCAATGCCTGTCTCCACCATGGCCACAAATAAGGACTTGCCTGTCTTATCTTCTCTGCACAGCAGCATCCACACAGTTTGCCGTTCCCTCCGTCGCGGACCACCCCAGCTCTGGGCCACCACACGACCCCTCTCCCTGGTGGCTTCCTGCCTCCCACGCTCCTTCCTCTCAGCTTACTTTTCCGGGACCTGCCTTTCCTCCCAGCTCTTCAGTGTGATGCTCCTCCGGCCTCTCCCCACACTCTGCGTCAGGGAGCTCCCCAACGCTGCACGTGCTGGCAGCCCCCAGATGTCTGTGGGTCAGTTAAGAAGCTTTTGACTGCAGGTCAAAGAAAACCCTTTAGTCTGCTAGCATGAGCCCTGAGGAGAACTTCCTGTGCCCCATACCAAGACGTCCTAAGGAGGCAGCTCCAGGTTGTCGATCCAGTGACCCGAGGGCATCACCAGCAGTTCAGGTGTTCCTCTTTCCCCCGAGCCCCCTCTGGCACGTCCCCACGTGGCTGCTGCACTTGCCGCTTCACACAGAGAGAGTGACGTCCAGGGAAGGAGAGGGCCTGTTTCTTGCCTTTGTTTTCTTCTCTCAAACTTTTTATTTTGAAAAAACTCCAGCATACAGAGAAGTTGAAGTAATAGTTGACTCAACACCCATACATCCTCCATCTGGATTCATCAATTAGTAACATTTTGCCACACTTGCTTTCTGTCTGTCCATATAAACAAGTGCATGACTGTAAACGTATTTCTGGGTGACCATTTAGAAATCTATCACAGACAGCATGAAAATAGCAGATACCAAGTGATGTCACCTCTGTCTATTTCAGCGTGCATCTCCTAAGAATAAGGAAATACATAACCACAACTATCCACCAAAGAACATGAATGATTTAGTGATACTGTCTAACATCTCTTCTGCATTCACATCTCCCATTTTCTAAAATATCTCTTACAGCTTTTTTATTCCTGATCTAAGTTCTGTCTGAGGGCTGTGCACTGCATTTTATTGTTACACCCCTGTTAATCAGCATACTTGCTTTTTAAAAAACTGCCACTGAATTTTTGAAGAATTTAGGCTAGTCTCACAGGCTGCCCCACATTGGGGATCAGCCTGCCTGTTAGCCCTTGGTGCTGTGTAACTTGCTCCCCTATCTGCTATAGTTCCTGTAAACTGGGGGTGAACTTTACAGGCACCATTCAATTCAAAAGGCCAACTTTTGGGCAAGGCTTTGTAGTTATGTGACCCACTCACTTATCATACCACTTATTCATACACCTCAGACCAGGTACTGAATCTGTGCCTCAGTTTCCTGAAACAGCTCATTTCCTCAGAGGCATAGCAAGGGGCTTGTACAAGTGGATGTATGAAAATTACTCAGAACAGTTCCTGTTATCTAAGTTGCAGCTGTTGTTAGTGCTCTTATTTCTGTTCCTGGGGAGCCTACTCTCTCCCCAGACCCCCATACCTCAGCCTCAGCTCTAGGCCTGGGCTCTAGGACCTTGTCTGGTTGGCAGTCCCTGTATTCCACGACTCGGAGCTGGTGGCCACCATGACAAGGAAGATGCGAGATCTGGAGCGGCAGGTGAAGGCCCAGACTGATGAGTTGCTGTCCAAGGTGGGACCCCAATGGGGGTTTGGCCAGTGTCCGGCCTGCGGGGTGGAGGGGCCTGGGCTGGGGAGACCAGTGAGGCTACCACTGCCGTAGGCCAGGTGGATGGGTTCGAGAACCATCTCCCCTACCGAACCACCCGGTTTGAGGCCAGGTGTGGCCTGGGACTGATCTGGATCCCTGTGACCTGAGCAGAGAGGCTGGGGGTCTTCCCCACAGCTGACCAAGGCCTGCAGGCATCAGGCCGGTGGCAGCAGTGGCTGGCACTCGAGGGTGTGCCTCACCTGCCCCCTCAGTGAAATCACAAGGCATAGGTCATCTTAGGTACAGGGTGGTGGCTGTGCCAAGAATGGCAGGGGCAGGGGCTTTAAGCTCCCCAGTGCCCAACAGAGGCAACAATTCCGGATCTTCCCATCTGGAGGGGGCGCCCTTGGATCTGCAGGACCTCCTTCCACCTCCCCACGTCTCACTGCTTCAGGACCGGAAGATTCGGGCCCTGGAGGAATTGGTGCAGACCCTCCAGAAGCATTGGGGTAAGAGGCTGTCTTGGCAGACAGTGGCCCTCCTACTGCCCTTCCCTGGCGACCCCTGGATGTCAGGGCTGCAAGAGGAGTAAGCTGAGTCCCGTGGCAGGTTCTGGACAGCTGGGCGCACCCAGGATGGAGGCCCTGAGTGCAGAGGCAGTCCAGCCCTGAGCAGAGGCCATACCACCAAAAGTATGGAGGAAGCGCATGCCCTCAGGAGCCTCTCTCCGAGTGGGCAGCCTCCTGAGGGCATCAGAGCATCCCCTCTCGAGGTCAGAGAGAGGCCAAGGGGCCATTCTCAGCATCCCTGCAGTTCTCAAAGGGCAGCTTCTCCAGATGACTCTCAGGGCGGAGCACTGGCCAAGGCCCCAGGTCCTTGGCAGCCTCCTTGCTGGGCTAGCGGAACCCCTCCCCATCTTTCCTGAAGGTGAGGTGACCCAGCAGCGGCAGGAGGAGCTGGAGACAATGTGCACGAAGCTGTGGCGGCAGGTGGAACAGATGGAGGTGAGAAAGGCAGCGGCTCAGGCTGTCTGCTCCTCAGGCACTGGGCCCCCCTTGCCCCACATCCCACACAGGGGCCCTGCCCTGTGTTCCCCGGCTCATGACTAAGCGGAGTTTAAAGAGCCAGGGGGGAGTCTGGCGCCCAGCACAGCCCTCTTTTGGGCCTGGGCTAGTCCCTGCCTGCCTCTTTGTCTCACCTTGAACCACCATCCCCTCCAGCCATGGGGACCTGCCTCTTCTCTGACCACATGGAGCTCTTTTCCTTCTCAGGACCTTAGCTTATGCTGTTCCCTCTGCTTAGAATGTTTTTTCACCTTCCCCTGGCAGGTTTCCACTCACCTCAGTCTCAAATCGAGGTGGGGGCCCTACCCCATGGCCTCTGCGACTCTGACCAGGACACATTCTCTGTCCTGAGTTTTCTCAGTGCCCCCTCTCTCTTCCTCTGTGGGACAGAGCACCACCAGGAAGGGAGGGACTGCTTTCCTCCTGTCTGTTGCTGTGCGTCCCTGCACGGCCTAGACGGGTGCCTGGCCATGTGTGTTACTGACCTGGTCACCGTGTCACAGTCATCCCCTGCCTCTGAACGTGGCATTGCATTCTCCTGCTGTCACCTTTCTGGCCCCCACTCACTCTCCCGTTCATACCGCAGGACTTGAACCGGAGGGGCCCCAGGATCAAGGGCGGGTCCTGGGCATGCACTCAGGGGTCCCCCCTTCCTCATGGCCGCCCTGCCCCAGAAGCCCTTCCTGGGCTCTGGCTTCTCCCTCTCCATGCAGAGTGGGTTTCCAAAGCCCCGACCTAATTTAAGACCACAGAAGCAACCCCAGACCACAACTGCAGCTGAGGGCCTGTCTGCTCAGGCCTGTTTGTACCTGGGGCTGTGGGTAAACAGCTGCCCCCTGAGCAGCCCGCCAGGAATGTTGGCCACCTTGGGCCTTCTCTGAGCAGCTGCCGACAGTGGGTGGGGCCCCCGCCAGCATCTCAGGGGCAGGGCACTATGGTTCTAAGTTCATTGCAGTCACACATTGTTGTTTCATTAATTTAACAAACCCCTACAAAGTAGCTCCTGTGTGCCAGGCACCCTGCCAGGCCTTGGGATATAAACAGCTCTGCCCTCTTGGGCCTGACAGTCTGGAGGAGACAGAGATATAAACAAGTGCACAGATACACCAGGTAGAGAGGAGGTGGAATGTTTACATGGGTGACGCAGTAGAGACAAGTCAGGGTTTGGGCTGCTCTGCAGGCTGGTGTTGGACAAGAAAGAGTTCTTGTGTGCGGGAAGGGACCAGGAAGGGGTTCCAGGCGGAATACAGGACGGGCTCCACCTGCCACTCAAAGTGGTAGGTGGTTGTGGGGAGCCAGGGAGGAGAGAGGCCACAGGGGCCACATCATGGGCTCCTCCACTGTGGGGTTGGATGGGAAGTCGTAGGGGGGCTTCTGGTCCAGGGGCAGCCAGGGGAAGGCAGGCAGAAGCACACTTTGAGTTGTCCTGGAGGGAGGTGACTGGCTGGAACGAGTGGGGCGGAGCAGGTAGGTTTGAGTCTGGTGCCCACAGGCCCTGTGGGGCATGGACGAGGCCGACGTGGAGGGGGTGCCGTGAGACTAGAGGGGAGCAGTTCTGGGCGGGGGCAGGGAGCCATGGCCATTTGGGACAAGTTCCTTTTGAAATGCTTGTTAGACATCTGAGTGTAGGTGGCTAGAAATTTGGAAACTGAAAAGGAGCAACGTGTTGCAAGAGATGAAGCCTGAAGAGGGCCCTCTGGGTGTGGCCTGGGCAGGGGCTTGGTGGCTGTGCTGAGCAGTTTCCGGGAACTGTGGAGCTGGCAGCCAGTAGCAGTGGATCGAGGAGGGAGCTGAGGAGGCAGCAACAGGAGGTGTGAACAGCTCAGAACGTTTCCTGTGACGGAGGCTGCGTGTGGGAGGCCATGTCCTCACAGTCCTTCAGAGCCTGGTGTCCCTGTCCCTCCTGCCACTCAGGCCAGGCCCACACGGTCCCCCCACTGTACCGGCGGAGTCCCTACTTGTGCCAGGCATTGTGCTCAGTACTTGCCGTGAGTGAGCTGACTGAGCCTTCCTCACAGGCTGGAGCAGCTGCTGTCACTCCTGTTTAGCAGGGAGGAGCCTGAGGCTAGAGCTAGGTCACAGCCAGGGGGTGGCCCGGCCCCCAGGGCCCATCCTCTCTGCCAAGCTGGCCTTGGGAGCTGAGGTCCGAGGCTGGGAACCGGGCTGATGCCGCCTTTCCCTGGGAAGAGGCTGACCTGACAGCGCTCCCAGCGTCGCCCCTTCTCTCCTCACAGCGGTTCCTTGGCGACTACGGCCTGCTGTGGGTGGGTGAGCCTGTGGACGAGGAGGACGAGGATGGGTCAGGCCCGGAGGATAGCACAAGGGACCGGATGACAGCCAAGAAGTTCTGGAAGCCAGGTAGAACGGGGGTCTGCCCCCAGCCCCTCCTACAAAGGATTTTGCAGCAGCTTCCTGTTGGCTAGTGTCTGTCCACAGGCTGTCTCATTCCTACTCCTACCTCCAAGCACGAGGTGCCGCCTGACATCCCACTCCGTGCACCCCCAGAGGGGCGGGAAGGAAAGGCCTCAGCTGCTGTCACAGGCCGCCTAACCTGCCGCCACTTTCATCCTCTGGTCTTGCCACAGACTCTCTGCTTGCTCATCTTTCAAAGGCTCCAGAGACCCAGAGGTACAAGATGTAACAAGATTTCATTTGTCTCTGGCACCATAGTTTACCAAATGCCTTTGAAAGCAATCCCTCTGCTTTGGAAGCTGCCCCTCAATTCTAGGCTTGACCCCTTCTTTGGACTCCCTTTCCAGATTCATTTGCAGCCAGGCCATGAAATCTGCCTGCCTCTCTGGGACCTATCACTTGCTATTTTTAACTTGACTGCTAATATCTAGAGGGATGTACCCATGAACCTGAGGCCACAGAACTGGCCCTTCCTGAAAGCCAGGCCTGTGTCTTCTGAGACCGGAGGTGGTTGCCCAGAAGGTCTTTCTCCACGCTCTGGAGTTTGTCAAACCTGGGCCCTCATCTCCATTTCTCCATCTATTCCAGGTGTGGCTCGGGCATGCAGCTCCCACTCTCAGCCTCCAGTTCTTCATCAATAAATGGGTTGTCCTCTTCCCTGTGAGGGTACAAGGAGTCAGACACAGAGCATCTAGTGTGGACCTTGCGTGTCCTCGGTTCACGTGGGAACTCTGTCTTCCACAGTCAGATGGTCAGTGGCAATCTCATGGGAACACGAGCAGGCTCCTGACAGGACTCTTTGGAAGATGACAACACTCCCTTGATTTCATAAGTTTCCTGCTGGGCAAACACCCAGCCTCAAAATATTTGAGCCCTTTGTGGGCCTAATACTTTGGCCAGATCCCCATAAATATCAGGGCACAGCTCCCTTACCACTTGTTCTAAAAAGTGCACTTCCGTTTGTGCAACACTTGGCAGCTTACAAAGCATTTTCATAAATAGCTTCACATGGGCCAGGGTCATTCCATTTTACAGATGGGAAAACCGAGGCACTTAAGTCTGAAGCCTGTTGAATGAAGGGGCAAGACTTAGAGCTAGCAGCCCTTTGGGATTTGGTTACAACTGCCCAGGCAGGGGGTGGGGGTGATGCCCAGCAGGAGGGTGAGGGTGGTGGGGGCGGAGAAAAGGAGTAGAGCCTAGATTTGGGAGTCTGGGCCTGTAGCTCTGGTGATTAAGTGTGCCTTAGGGAGGGGCTGGGGAGCGTCAGGGATGAACACAGGGTGCACAGCTGTGGGGAAAGATGCTGAGTCCATCTGGGATGCAGCTGAGCCGGGAGCTGGGGAGCACGTGGGCCCTGCGTGGGGTGGGGGCGCAGTGCGGGCCTGGGCGTGCTGACAGGACCGCTCAAAGGCACTAATGAAGCGGACGGTTTCACAGCTAGAGCAACTTGTGAAGAACACCTGGCCACAAGCTCCCTCTGTGGCTCTTCTTTGATTTTTTGATTCTTCAACAGGAGGGTCCTTGCTTCAGCTCTTCTGCCAAATGAACATGTTTTTCATTATGAGCAGCTTTTCCTCCTGGGACTCCCCTCGACTCCAGTTCTGCTCTTCCTCTCCCCCCCTGCCATGTCTTCAGGTGCCAGCTGCTCCTGCCCCGGGGCCCTCGGGGCCACAGAGCTGGCCTCTTGCTGGCCCTGATGCTCTGGCTCCTTTCTCTGGTTCTCCCTCTGCTGGATGCTACTCCCCACCTGCCGGCTGTGGATGGATGAGCCAGGGAACCTGTACTGGGCCACACTCTGGCCATTCAAATGCTCTAGAGCCTGGGACGCTTGCCTCCCACCCCATAAAGGGGGCCCACCAAGGGGAAGCCTTGCAAGAACTTAGCCTCAGGCTGGATCATTCACTCCTCCCCCATCCCCCATCTCCCCAACAACCCTATATTGAGCATTGAACAGGATGCCAGGTGCTTCAGGGTATGCAGAGACATGAAAGGGACTGTCCTGGTCTGGTCACACCGCCCAGGGCCAGGTGTTGAGCCTCAGGGCTGAGAGCTCCAGTCCACTCAGAGCATGTCACTCCCCTCTCCCCTTGCCCACCTCTCATCAAGTTCCTGCCTTCCCGCTACCTCTCCTCCCCCTGCCAGCCCCCATGTCCCCCCACCAGTCTTCCTCCCAAGCCCCATGCTCCTGCTTCTGGGGGGGGCCTCTTCTCTCCCCTGCTCTGGAAGCCAGTTTGACAACTTGGGCTGTATCTGGCTTCACTTGTCCCTGGGCCACCCTGGAGCCCCTAGAACTGGCTTGGCCTAGACTCCAGGCAGGCTAGTGCTTCCCCTCAGACTTGTGCTGTGTCCCCTGAAGTGCCTGGCCCCCTTTTCTCCTTGCCTTTGAAGCTCAGCTCAAACCCTACCTGCTCCAGCAAAACACACCTACATGGAGCGCCTGCTCGCTGCCAGCCACCGTGCCACCCTGCCGCTGCCCCGGCCATGGGAAGGGCTGTGAGAGAGCGAAAGCTCTAGAGGCTCTGGCTGAGTGGCAGGGGGCCTGGGTCAGATCCAGCCCTGTGTGGGCAAACTGCTTCACCTCCCTGAGTCCATGCCCTCACCTGTGAAATGAGGGGCCGGTCCAGGTGACCCCTAGACTGCTGAGAGCCCTGAATGCCATGGTGCATGTGGTGTGTTCTCATGGATGGGCTGACACATGGCAGATGAACAAGACTGAGCCATGATTGCTTAGCCTCTGTTGTACCCCACAGTGCTCGGCCTGTAGGCCAGGGCACATGCACATGCATGTGATTGGCAGGTGGTGCTCAGGTGTCCAGCCTGAGAGGTCAGAGCACGCTGCGACAGTCCTCTGCACAGGATGAGGTGGGGACGGGTGGTGCGATGCTTAACAGCAGGGGCCAGTGTTGGTCGTGGCCCTGGCAGGCTACCAGACTCCCAGGGCCTGTTTTCTCGTCAGCGGCTCCTGAGGAGCAGAATGGATGCAGGTGAAGTCCCAGAGCAGGGTCTGGCTTGCAGGTGTGGAACTATAGGTCCATTTCCTGTTCAACAGCCTTTGCCTGAGGAGGTGGGGGCAGGGCATGCTGGCACCGTCTTGGTATTTCACAGCAGATGGGCCACCCAGGGAAGGTGAGAGCCAGCCCAGCCCAGGCCACCACTCACTGCTGATAGTGGCAGGGTCTCACCCTTCTCTGGGCCCCATGCCCCCCACTGGCACTTACCACATTCCCTTGTCGCTGTTTGTGGCCCTGTCTCTTTCACTTGGTTATGAGCCTGAGGAGGGCTAGACTCTGGGCATGGGCGTAGCCATGACTCTCAGGGCCTAGCAGAGCACGAGCATTGCAGACATATTTGCTGGACGGCAGGATGCGTACAGTACATGCTTCTTGAGCACCCACTCTGGGCCAGGGTCAGGGCTGGAGGCTCTAGCCTGTGTTCAAGGAGTACCCAGTGTGGTTGGAAAGACAAACAAGCAAACAGAAAAGGGTAGCAGCCTATGATAAGAGTCAGGGGAATGGGCCCAAGGGCTCCTGGAACCCAGGAGGAACAGGGGCCCAGCCTCAGGGGGAGGGGCTCCTTGGCAAGGCCTCTCAGGGGAGGTGGTGGGAAAGCACCCTAAGCCCAGTGATGAGCAAGAGGATGGGGCGTAAGTGACAACAGCAGCCACCATCTGCCAGGCACTTCCTCTGAGCCTCAGCAGTCCTGTGAGGTGGGGACTTTTTTGTTCTCATTTTATAGAAGAGGAGGCTGAGGCTGAGAGAGAGTGGCCTTCTTGCCCAGGGTCACACAGCTTGGAAACAGTGGTCTTGGCAGTGGGGCTCCTGCTCATTAAAGGAGTAGGGAGGCATGGAGATCAAGCCCGAGCTCCTTGGCACAAATCCTGAGATCCTTAGAGCCCAGGCTTCCCCTTCCTGGGGCTCCACTTGTCCAGAGCTGCGGTGCCTTCCCCTGGCCCCGTCTCACTCTGCTCTGCTGCACCTGTTACCTGCCTGGCCCACCCCGCTTTTACTTCATGCCCTGCCCCCCTGGCTGAGAGCCATCAGGGCTGACCTCTGCAACTTCTGTATTCCATCTCTGCTTCCTGGCATCCTTCCCTGGGCTTGTACCACCTCATGCCCAGTAGCTCCCTGGAAAAGTTTTGGCCCCAGGAGGCAGCTAGATGAGCACACTGTCTGCTGGGGCCAAGTCAGCTGCCCTTTCTAGGCCTCACTTGTCTCACCTGTATGAGTATAAGGATGGGGGCAGGCGTTGAATGAGGTGTGCTTTTCTGTTATTATCTTTAGGTTTACCAGTGTGTCCTGAAAGTAGCTGGTTATTAAAGAAAAATAGTGTCTTAGTTCTGACTAATGCCAGGGATGCCCAGGATATTCTATGAGTTTTTCTTGGGAATCTTTCAGGGACTCCAGGGGACCCCAGTAAGAAGTAGGGGACAGATGCAGCCCTACAATGGTAGGAAATGTAGGGGAGAGGGGAAGGCCAGCTGGGGCCTACCATTTTCAGCAGCCACAAAGGCAACAGGAAACAGGGCCACCCACATCCGTGCTCCCCAGCACAACCACTGCCTCAGTAAAGCCACTGTACCACTGTGGTGAAAGGAACTGGGTCCCCAGGGTCCTGACTTACACCTTGCTGCAGCCTTCAGGGACTGAAGACACTCCCCTGCCCTGTCCTGTCAGCATCCTACTTGCTCCCCACCCTTTTTGTTTTGGCATCTGTCATCACAACCCCCTTTCCCCACTGAAGCTTATGCACAGCTGTATGTCAACACATTTTTCAGAAGAGGTCAAAGCTTCTGTCAGCTTCTCAAAGGGGTCTGTGACCCAGAAATAGTTGCCCCAAATTTATTCTGTCCAACAGCTGTCCCAGCATCCTCCCCAGCAGCCATCTGTCCCTACCCCAACCGTTCTCTGCTGATGGTGCAGATGGGTGGGAAAGAGGCTCGAGTCAGCCCCTCCTCCGCTTGCCAAGTGGCCTGGGGCAAGTCATTTTTCATGTTTGTGGGCCTGTTTCCTCATGTGTGAAATGGAGATAAATAACTCCTGCCTCATAGCCTCTGGGTTGGCCTGAGGGCCATTTGTGCCAGGTGGAGTTGGTTACAGTCACTGTCAGGGTCAGTGTGCTTGTTCCGCACTGGCCGTTATGGTCATCCCTTGCAGTCATCCTGAGCAACAGACAGTGTTATCCCCTTCAGGAAGAGCATGCTGTGGTGCAGAGCACTGACTGACTTGGTCAAGGTCATACAGGTAGAAGTGGAAGGGCTGGGATCTGAACCCAGACAGCCTCAGTCTAGAGCTGGGAGTCCTACACTTGCTTTCCAGTGCCTGACACAGACCTGGGATCAGATCCTGTTCCTGCCACTTACTCTGTGCATCCCGAGGTCAGCCATTGACCTCTAACATTCAGTTTCCTTATCTTAAAAATGGGGACGGTTGTAGCCCCTAAAGTATAGGGTTGGTATGGCGAGAGAATGAGGATAAGGTTTTAAACCCCTAGCACAATGCAAGAGCTGCTGCTGTCTAGTGTGAGTACTCTTCCTCCTGCCCAGGGAGTCACTTAAGGAGATGCTAAGGCCACTGCCTTGCATGGGAGGGGACCGTGGAAGCCAGGGCTGCTAGGGCACATGGCAGCCACGAAGAGAGGCCTAACCGTGTCTGTGTTCTTTGCCAGGGGACTCACTGGTGCCCCCCGAGGTGGACTTTGACAGACTGCTGGCCAGCCTGAAGGATCTCAGCGAGCTGGTGGTAGACAGTGACACACAGGTGATGCCAGTGCCCAGTGTCCTTGAGCCCATCCCACTGAAGCTCTACCGGAATGGCATCATGATGTTCGATGGGCCCTTCCGGCCCTTCCACGATCCCTCCACGCAGGTAGGAGTGGGGGGTTGGGAGGGGAGGCAGGCTTGTACACACTCGGGCTGCTCTGGTGCTCCCCTGCTCACCAGGGAGATGGTGGGGCCCAGTGCACTCCCAGCCTAGCGGGCCCCTCATGGGCACAGGCCCATGCACAACTCGGAGAGTCCCCCCAACTCCAAGTTCTGGGGCTCTGAATACTTCCAGAGTGTGAGCTGCTGGGTAAGCCCAGGGACCAGGGACCAGGTCCTGCCATCCAGACAGGAAGCAGGGGGAGGGCACTGCCGTAGTCCAACTGGACCTCCCCCTTCCTCTCCTCCCTGCAGTGCTGCCTCCGAGACATACTGGACGGCTTCTTTCCCTCAGAGCTCCAGCGGCTGTACCCTGATGGAGTCCCCTTTAAGGTGATGGGCTGTGCCTCAAACCATCCCACATGGAGAATTTGGAGGAGGTGGGGATAAACAGTTTCCTCAGGCATCAACCAATCTGAGGCAGGAAGTCACTGCCCCACCTCAGGGGCCCCTGATCTTACCACTTCTGGGAGGAGAGTGAGCCTGAAATTGGGTTGAGAAGTGATTGGGGAGACTTGCCGGGCCACAGTTGCCTTTTCAGCAGCAGGGACAGCCTCTGGCTGAGCTGCAGGTGGTGCCCCCTGCTGGCGAGCTGAAGGCACAGCCTCAGCCACACAGGACCACTGCCCCGCCTCTACAGGAATTCAGGCCACGGACAACTCGGCGTCCCTGAGTAGTCTGCCAGAGCCGCCTGGCTTCTAGAGGCTCCTGAAGCCATCTGGTTGGGGTGGAAGGCAGTGAGGCAAATGCTGAGACTGAAGGACATGCAACAGAGCCAGGCTATCCCCACCTCTGGTGCTGTGATGGGAACCCAGGGGCAGTGTTCTAAGGACAGTGCATTAGGTTCACAGGGCATGTGAGAGAGCACCACTAAAGCTTGGAAATCATGTAAGTCCTGATTGGGTGTTTGAGGTAGTCCATTCCCAGATGGGACTTGCCCTCTCCTAACACCCAGGTCCCTCCCCTCCCTGTTGGCTCCTGAGGGCTCTTTGAAGAGGATGTCAGCTCCAGCTGGCATGGCGAGAGGTGCTTGTAGGCAGAGCAGGGCCCAGGTGGGTGATAACAGCATGAACTGCAGCTTTTCTGCTCTTTCTCAGGGCCTCAGTTTCCTCATCTGTAAAATAGGGATTGCATCAGACCATATACTACTCCTGGGGCATTTGGGCAAACAGGTGGGTGTGGAGCCCAGAGCTAAAGATCTGGGTCTGTCACTGTCTCTCTTGCCAGATAAGTGACCTGCGCAATCAGGTCTACTTGGAGAATGGGCTGGACCTACTCCCAGGTGAGGGCCAAGTGGTGGGCCGGCAGATTCGCAAGCCCTTGGACAAGATGGAGCATGGAGGTGAGCCTGGCCCTGAAGCTGAGCTAGGTGGTGGGGCTGCTGTGCAGGATAAGCTCCAGGTGGCCTCCACCATTGCTCACAGTCACTCCCCAGGCCAAAGCTTCCAATGCGTTTCTTGCAGGCTCCAGGATAACTGCCAAGAAGTTTCTGAACAGGCTTCCCAAGTGTGTGATACAAGGAGAGGTGATTGACATCCGGGGATCCATCCGGGACACCCTGCAGGTGAGGCCAGCCCTAGTTCCCCCAGCCTCCTCAGGGGACTTTATCATCAACCCTGGCCCCGCCTGCTAGAACAGTGGCTTTTCTGGAGGCTCAGCCTTTGCGCCCCTGAGGAGGTTCTAGATGGAGAGATGAGTCCATCAGAGCTGTTCAACTGCCTCCTGGAGATTGTAGAGCTGGTGAGAGCTCTGGCTGGGACCCAGAGAGCAGCTGAGTTGGCCAGAGTGTGGCTGTAAGAGGGGGAATGTCAGAGTACAGGCTGGGGTGAGCCCAAGACCCAGGCCACCCTGCTAGGTCCAGACCAAAATAACCAGTTAGGTCCTGGATACCCCTTCCTGGCCCTCACAGAGGTCCTCATCCTCTCTCCTTACTCCCCTTCCTGATACAACCTCCCATGTCTCCACCTCAGTGAAAGGTGCCCACCAGTTTCTTACGATTCTCTGCCTCCTTCCCCCAACTGCCAAGTCCTGTCTGACCTATTCCCAGCACTTCTCCCAAATCCATCCCTTCTCTCCATTCCTGCTGCCCACCATCTTCGTCTAGGCTCCAGTGTCTCTCCCAGACAACTGCCATGGCCTTTCACTGGCCTTCCCTGCACCACCACTCCTGCCCTGCAACCACCTTTCTCAGCAGCCTCTGTGCTCCTTTAAAAATGTAAATTGGATCTTGGCTCTTCCCTATTGAAACCCTCTAAAGGTCTTTGATTAAAGCCAAGCTCTTATCGTGGCACACAGGGCTCATCATCTCTTGCTTGTTCTCTTCCACATCTAACGTTTTCTTTTTCCAGTCCAACTTGATTCCCAGCTTTAGCTGCATGAACCCCTGACCCTTTCCCAAATATAAGGCTTCTCTTGGAAGGCTTCCCTGACCTAGGGGTCCTTGCCCATGATATATGGAATATCCCTGCCTCCCATTCCATTTCTATGAACTCTTCCTCATCCTTCAGTCACAGCTCAGGTGTTATTTTGCCTGGGAAGCCTTCCCTGATCCATGCGGGGTTAGGCATCCGGCCAGGTCATCCTCTGTGTGGGGTTCTGTCTCCCCAACTAGACTGAGGTTCCCAAGGCTTCTTGGGGGGAATGATGGTGTCACCTCCGAAAGCTTCCCTTCCATTACCTTTCCTTGGGCTCTGGTTTACGGACAACACCTTTTCCCCTTTGGCTCAGAGGGTCTCATCCATCCCTGGTCAGGGAGAAGCCCCTCTATGGGCTGGGGGTCAGTGTGACTCTGGCAGGGCCCAGGGCTGTGTCCACCCCTGTCCATGCCTTCCAGAGCTGCTGCCCACAGTCTGCCCGGATCCAGGAGATTGTGGTAGAGACACCTGCCTTGGCTGCTGAGCGTGAGAGGTAAGGGCAGAATGGAGAGGTGAGGACCAGGCAGTTGGGCCACCCGGGGCACTGGTCATCTCTGGGCCCACAGGAACCAGGAGTCGCCCGAGTCACCAGCACCCCAGCTCTCCATGCTGCGCATCAAGTCTGAGAATGGCGAGCAGGTCTTCCTGCTGATGATGCGGCCAGAGGACACTGTTGGGGACATGCGCACCCTGCTTGCCCAGGCTAGGTGGGCATGGGGTGGGGCTGGCAGCCACAGGGGGACTCTGGCCCCACAACTCAGCCTGACTTGTTTTGCTGGGTCCCCAGAGCCATGGATGCCACCACCTTTGAGATCTTCAGTACATTCCCACCCACCGTCTACCAGAATGATGCACTCACGCTTCAGGCTGCAGGCCTGGTGCCTAACGCAACGCTGCTGCTTCGGTCACGCATGGTCTCACTGCCTGCCCCTGGCTCCCTCTCCAAATAAAGTGCTGCCCCCCAAAACTGGCTGCTCCAGGAGATCCTCTTTGGCTGACCCAGGGAGGGGGCAGTGCCAACCTGCCCGGAACTTGAGCCCCCGCAGGCCACAGGTCTTTGTCCTCTAGGTTCCTCTTTCTCCCTAGAAGGGCTAAACCAACCCAGCAGTGGGAAGGAGAGCCCTGGCTCAGCCTCAGCTGGGGCAGCAGAGCCTCACGTGCAAGTGTGCAGCCAGCAGATCGCTGTGCACAGATATGCACAGACCCACAAGCATGTGGGGACACTTCCTCAACATTATGTGCAAAGCCACCGCCCCCAAACTGGCAGAACTGCACCTGTGTACCCTCTTCATGACACACACTTAGCCAATCTGCTGGAACACAGGCAGACAGCCACATGGCACACATCACTGACAGGCATGCAAATGCAGGACAGACCAAGGCAAAGGCATGTCACAGATACCATCACATGCATGTAATAGGAGGGTGACCCACCCACAGTCTCCAGAAACCATTGGTCCACAAAGATCAATGTGTGTGTGCTGGACAGATGCAAACACATGCAAATCACACACACACACAGGTGCCACACGTGAGAGCTCAACCCACCTACTCACAGGAGCACAACCACATCTACCAACCTTGTTCACAGCAGGGACCCAGGATGCCCAGGCCATACCAGACAGACACAGGGCCAATGGAATGGGATATTTAATTGATTCTAGGGTGCTCCCAGGATAGGGACTGTGGGGCCTTTGGCAGAGCCCTGACTAGTGGGACCAACAAGGTGCCCATCAGCCAGTGCCAGGCAGGGTGGCAGCCACAGGACCTGGCTGAGGGCTGCCAGCACTTGGGCTATTGCTGAAGACAATTTCTGGGATTAGTGGGTAAGGAATGTTGCCTTTTTGAGTGGAGGAGAGGGGGCTACATTTAGGGAGGAGAAGGGGCTGGGATGGGGGAAGGGGCTCCAAGGTCAGAAGGTTAAGACTAACAGGGGGTTGGTCACAAGGGCCTGGTGGTGGCAGTGGCTGGGGGGAATGTGGTGGAGTCCGGCAGGCCAGTTTGGCTCAGGCCAGTTTCAGGAACTCCTGCAGTGTGTTTTGTTCCACAGCCTCCACGAAGAGCTCATAGTCCTGGGGGAAGGGAGGCAAGAAGTGGTCACCTAGTGCTGGTGCTGTCTCAGGTCGGACTCTGGCTGGGGTGGTCCTACCGCACTTCCCCCACCCCCAACCCCTGGGCCCATACCCCACAGTACTGGTCCCCGTTGACAATCTGGGGTGGGGTGGCCTTGGGGTTGCCCGCCAAGGCTCGCATCTCATCCCGCAGGGCGTTGTCCTGAGAGATGTCCACTAGCTGGTACTGGATGCGCTTCCCGTCCAGGATGCGGGTCACCTCGCTCTGCTGGGACTTGATCTGGGGGCAGAGGACGCGCTGGGGGTAGTGAGCAGGATTTATGGGAGGTGCCCTTTGCAGAGAGGGTTTACGTGGGGCACCCTGGGCAGAGAGAGAGGGGCTGTGGCCACTGGCTTTTGCCCTCTGCCCCCGTCCACACCGTGGGGAAGGGTTCTGGCCACTAGGGGTTGGGAGGATGAGTCAGCCTTGCAGTGGTGCAGGGTAAGAGAGGGACCATCATCCGTGGTAAGGGGAGTCAGAATGAAGGGAAGTGGGATGAAGTTCAGGGTGGGGACAACCAGGAGCTCAGCGAGGGGAAGGCAGGGTAGGCTGGGCAGAAGCTGGTAAGGAGCCACCCCCGCCCCAGGTACACGCTCAGGGGAGGTGAAGAAAGGCTGGGTAAGGACACGGTCAGGGTCGGACCGGCAGTCAGGGTGCAGAAAATGCGTGTCCGAGTGACGGCGGATGGGCGTGGGCAGCTCATACTGGGGCTACCGAGGATCCAGGGTGCCCAAAGAAGGGGCTCGAGACGAGGCCGCCGAGCGCACACTGGGACCCGACCCGGGAAGCTGTGTCCCGCGCCCGGCCGCCCCCGCCCCGCCCCGCCCCCTCCCTGGGGGCGGGTCCCGGGCGTCGGGGCCGAAGCCCCAGGACTCGGCCGCCCGCGCCCTAACTCGGCGCCGGCCCCCGGCGCGCACTTACTTCGCGGGACCCAGTGACCGACGTGCTGTAGACGCGAAGGCCGCTCATGCTGAGGGTGGACTGATGGGCAGACAGACGGACAGGCGGCGGTAGCAGCTGGACGGCCTGGAGACTACGCCGCCGCGCTGGGGAGCGGTTTCCTTCCTGCTCAGCCCGCGAGTCACTGATCTCAGGACCAATGGGCGGCGCGGGCAGGCGCGAGGCCAGGGCGGGGCCTGCGCGACCCCGCCCCCCGCGCCGCGGGCGCCCCCCGCCCTTTCCCCCCGGGGGCCGGGCGCGCGGAGCCCCCCAGCTAGTCCCACGCGAGGCCGGCTCCTTGGGTCCTTCCCATATCTGGGGCTCACAGTGAGGCTAGGGTGTAACCTGATGGCAGGAAAGGTCGGGGAGGGCAGGGATGAAGATTTGGCAAAGACCTCAGCCTCGCCTGAGCTTGGGGCGCCCAGCTACCCACCCCCGATGCCACGATAGCGCAGCTCAGCGCGGGGCTTTGAAGACTTGCTGTTTTCAACCTACGGTTTCCAACCTAGGGAATTTCGCTCTAAAGGACCCCTCCCCACGTTATACCCGGCGGCACCCACTCATGGCTAACCCCGCAAGGCAGGAGGAACTCCAAAGCAGAGACAGCCACTGCTTAGATTATTTCCTCCAAAGATCCTCTCCATCAGATAGGCAAGTTTGGACAGAAGGGTGGTGGCCGGAGACAGGGCCACACCCTTAAGGAGCCAGATGGAAAACAAGGTAAGAGGTTGCCAGTCTGGAAAAGGTGGAGGCAGAGGTTGGTATTGACTCCTGAGAGGCGTGGGCCCTTGTTAAAAATCCATAGCTGGTCTTGAGGTGTCTCAGCCCCAACTCCATGCTGCAGATGACCCTCTCAAACACTCCTGCCTGCAAAAATTCGGGAGGCTCAGGGGAAGGAGACTGCAGCAACCAGGCCAATGTTAGAGACTCAGCTATCTGCCTGGGATTGGACATGATTCCCCTGGAAGAATCCCTCAGGGCCAGGGCTTTGATAGTAGCCCAGGAAGACAAACCCCAGCTCCCTGAGGCAGTCCAGCGTCCTGCCTGGCTCTGGGGAAACCACTTCCTCACAGCAACCCAGAGGCAGCAACTTCCTCTCTCGGAGGATTACTGAAATGCTTTCCAGTGACAAACTTGCTCCGTGACTCAGGGGAGGTTTGCCCTATAGAAAGTGAGTTGGGAAGAGATCTCATCTGTCCCAATAGAATGACAGAGCAGAAGTCATAGAGAGATAACAGACATGAGGCTGAACTTGCCAAAGGCCCTGCTTTGCTGCTTTCTGAAGAACTTGGCTACACACCCAGGCTTTGGCTCAACGAAGCCAAAATGAGGGGTGGAGTAGGATGATGGTGAAGGAAGGCAATGGAAAACCGAGGAGTCTGATAAATGTTTTATTTTGTAATCAAAATAGGCAATACAAACCAGTTAACATAACAAGGATTCATATAAATAACTACTTATAAACTTTATGAGGAAAAATACCCGTGAGCATGGTGACTGGGCTTCCAACACAGGGTGGAGCCCAACCAGGCAGCTCCTTTTAGGAGGCAGGAGCCCAGAGGCTGAGGGGTGGCTGGGTGGGGCCACTCTGAATGGAAAGGGCTAAATCACTCCATAAATAAAACACGAATTTGTAAAAACACTTAAGGAGTCTCATTCAGGTCTGGGAGTGAGGTCCAGGATGTTGCCCTGACAGCCCAGAGCTTAGCAAGGATCTTACAGTGGCTGACTCTGGGCTCCTGAACTCTGCTCAAGGCTCCCCCATACCCACACACAGCCCTGGCGTGGCCTGGCTCCAGATCTCAAGGAGGCCTGGGGCTGGCCCAACAACCAGATACAGACAGTTTTAAGATGCTCCCTAAACAAGGAGGCAAGAGAAACCAGAAGGCAGAGGGTCCAAAGGCCCCAGAGAAACAAACAAAAACACAGCAAACACTGACAGCTGTACCTTAAAGCCGACCTGCACTAGATATGCTGGGAACTCTGAAGGAGTCCAGAACAGGAAAGGACCCCTGCCCCCAAACACAAGTTTGGCAGAAATCAGAGGGTAGGTGATGGCCCCAGCACCAGGGGTAGGGGGTGAAGAGCTTAACAGCTGCCCTATGGTATTCTGGGGGAAAATCCTGTCCAAACCCAGAATCACAGAGAAGAGTCTGCACTCAAAGCCCTAGAAGGTTACTACCTGGATGGCCTGACAAACAAAAGGAAAAGGGCTCTGCTAACCACATGGCCAGGGCCCTAAGGGCACAGAGCAGCTAGAGTGGGGTCTCCTATAAAATGGCATGTTAGGAGATGAAGGAGCGCTGGCTCTAATCCCTAGGCCCCCAATTCTAGGGGGTACTTTACAAATCAATAGATCACCCTGAGGATGCCTGTGAGAACATAAGTCCTGAGGAAAAAGCAGTGACTGGGCTTAAGAAAACCCAGAAAGCCAGCTTCGCTCCCAGGAAGGCTGGCACATGGGGCCTGAGAATCCTTAGATGTCCAATGTTACTGGTACTCAGCCTTTCCAGGGCCCTTTAATGAACTCAGTATCAGCAGGACCAGAGTATGGAATGGGAATGAATGTGGATCCATCCCAGAGGACGGAGAAGGGAAGAGAGCGCTGTCTGCCTTTGATGTTGGCCTGGGGCTGGGAACAGTTTGTGAGGACTTATCAGTTAACCTGCAAAAGTTAACTGGTCACTCACCTTCAAAGGGTGAATGAGCATGACAGGACAAACACAGTCCAACAAGGCAAGGCCAGTGTCGGGCAGGGCAGGCACAGTTCCCTAAAACAGCCCTTAGCCCCAAATGCCAGCTCTTAGCTCTCCTCCACCCCTTCTGTCTGGTAATAGCAGCAGAGAGGAGGCAAGAGATTGTCAGGGCAGGACCTGCTGGAATGGGACCTCGGCAGACCAGATTCTCCCGGGGAGCGGAATACAGCCTGTCCCACCCCCAGCATTCCTCACTGTGTGACACAATTTTCTCCCATGTCCTGGGCGTATCTGTCTGACATGGTGGTCCTTAAGTCCTCAATGTCACGGCGTAGTTGCTGAACTTCTTCTAGTTTCCTCCTGATCACATCTGGCTTCTGCAAATCTAGCTGAGTCTCTGGGTGCTGTGTAGCTGGGGAGGAGAGTAATTTCGAGAAAATGTTAGTAAGTAAGCCAGTTAAGAGACACTTTCATGTGGAGGGGGCACTATGGATAGGCAGCCCTATGAGACCTGTGGTCTTGGGACATGGCACTTTTAAAAAAGCAGCCCGGGATAATGGGCTGAAAACTTGCTAAGGGACACTTTATTTCTCCTGCACCCAGGTACCCCATACAGATGCCCATTTCCAAAATAGGTTTACCATCTACTTTGGGAAAATACATAAACTCCCAGAGGGCAGTGACCAGGCCTCTGTAGCTCTTTTCACACATTATCAGAGGGATGGGAAAGGTGGGATAGGGTGAAAGGAAAATGAAAGTAATTCTCTCCTGGGTCCCAGACTGGCCTGAGGACTCACAGTGAATGCCCAGCAGCAGGGAGAGATTGGGGTCATGGCCCTGGGCCCTCTGGGTCACAATGCTACAGACAGCCTGCAGATCTTGAAGGCAACTGGCCAACTCCTGGTGTAGCTCAGATGCCAGCTGGGCTGTGTCTGGTGAAGATGGGGACCCTGGTTGGGCCTGGCGCAGGTGTTCCTGAAGTGTCAGATTTTTCTCAATCAGGTCCTGGTTCTGCACTGAAAGCTGAGCAGAGATGGGCAAGCACATTAACCCAGGCCCAGGGAAAGGCAGAGTATCTGTGCATGAATGTGGATGTGTGTAGGGGAAGGTCTGAGTCCCAGGCATGTTCCACCCACAACCCCTGATACTAGTTTTAGACTGTAGGTTGGGCTCCAACAGTGGGGAGAAAACTGCTCTCCACAAGGCTCTGAGACATCAGTCTCCAAGTTTCTGTTCAGGACCCAGAGAAGATACTCCTGATCCTCGGAACTCTATATGAAGCCAGTCTCTCAGCCAACTTTGTTAGCCAGGCTATTAGAGAAGGCTTAACGTGAACTGTGAAATCTGAGGAGACACTGGTTTCAATCTCTCCCTGCCACTTTGACAAAAGTGGCTACCAGCCAGCCTGATCAGAGTGACTCAGAGGAATAAAGGGGCAAGACAGACATGACAGTCAGTAGCCACTGGATGGGGGCCTGGAGAAGTCGGGGACCTGGAGGATACAGTGCAGGAATGTGTCCTGCCCTTTTCAAACCTTCACCCCAGTGAAGTCTGACTTTACTACACAGACCAGCTATTCATGGAGATCTGTGTCTCTTCCCCTCCCTCTCCCTGAACAGTTTAGCCCACTCTCCTTCCCTTCCTACCTCTATTCTCTTTTAAAGAACTGAATAGAGTTCCTCCTCCAGCCCCAGCCCTTCACCTACAATGGCCCACATAACAATCCCAGCTCGCTCTGAGAGATGCCCTCTTAGGCACTTGGCTAGTGAACTTGGTTGCCCCCTGCTGACAGCTCTGTTCACTCCACAAGGAACACCCAATCCACAGTCTGCTTGAACCCTTCCTCCCCAACCCCACAATCCTGTGGTTGCACGAAGACAAAGGGAGAAAGAATGATTTTCACAATAAAAGACATTCCTGGGCAATTATGGCCATCCTAAGGTTGGCTTAAGACATTTAATATAACAGATGATGCAAAGTCCCTTCTTATTCCTCTGCCAAGAAAGCTCAACAGTGACCTTCAAACAAGGGAGTAGGATGTGGGAGGAGTGATGGGGAGGGTACCCAGAGAAATCAGTTTGGGAAGGCAGTGCTAAAAGGCTTGGCTGATGCTGCTCACCTCTTTCACCGCTGTGCGCATCTGCTGCAGGGCTGTCTCCCTCCTCTGGGCCTCCTCTTTCAACGCCTGGCTTGTTCCTTCTTCTTGTGCCACTTCTTGCTCTAAGCTCTGAATCCCACGGCAAGGAGCAGTGGGAGAACACCCCAGGGGGTATAATAAATCTGGCTCAGACCATATCACCTCTGGCCTGGACTGGATGTAAAGCCCCACCCTGCCCACACACTGCTGCTGAGATTATTTTAGAACACGTCTAATCTATGACTTCCCAATGGAATCCTCCTATAGTCCCTGACCATGTGCCAAATAGAGACCAGCTCCTCAGTAGGGCATTCCAGGCCAGTCTGGCCCTTACCTACTTTTCTAGCTATATCTCTTTTGCCCTCCACACAGTCTCCATTCCAGCTACACTGAATGACTGACTAGCCTTCTTCCCCGAAGTCTCCAGCTCCAGCACTGCTGCTCACTCCTCTTCCACTTTGCCCAGACTGCTTTTCTGCTCTGCCTGTCACCCAGGAAACCTCCAAGATCCACCTGAGCCTTCCTCAATCTGCAAATCAGACCCAATTAACCCTAATACCTCCCTGCTGTTCATACCTCCATCACAGTTCATGAGTGCACATGATTCCTCCCTCCACTAGACCATAACTTTCTTGAAGACAAGGAACATCCATTCAGCTGAGTTCAGTACTTACTGAGCACCCACTGTAACAGGCCCTGAGGATAGTGAGAATAATACCCAACAATCCCTGTACTTGAGCTCATTGTCAAAGCCCTTGACAACAGTGCGTATTAAATGCTTTTGACAGAGATTGAGAAGGGGTAGGAAAGCAAGCACTCCCACAGGCACCTTACATAGGTAGCTGTGTGTGTGTGCACGCTGAGTGTATGCATGCATGCGTGCGTGTGTGTGTGTGTAGGGACAATCAGGGTTAGGAGGAGGGAGGAATTTGTTATCTTCTGACTCCATTCTATTCATCACAATTTCCCCCCAATTTTGAAACTGATTTGAACAAATGAAGCATATAAAATATTTCTCAATTTCCCCATTTAAAAAATGTAAACCGCCAAGGAGAATGCCTCATAACTAGGAAATACCCAGTGTGACCATTCTGAATCCACCTAATTCTAGCAAATTCACCTGACATTGCGATTTGCCTGAGAAATCTCATCATGGGTACCATTTAAAATGTTGGACTTCTCAACCTTTGTGTAACTCCAGGGCTCAAGGGAATGTACTTTGAGATACTTTAAACTCTTAGGAATGCTTACTAGGCGCAACTATCTCCTTCTAGGACTTGAAATAGATGAACTAAATAAACAGCCTGACCCACATAATGGCAAAGTCAGGACTGCAGCTTTCAGTTGCTTCTCAGAGTGCACTGTACCTGTTCTGGGGTGAAAACCTCTTTGAGTCCAAAGAGAACCTGAATGAACTTGCTTCACCTAGGATTTCTTGAAGAACCCAATTAAGGACACTCCCCCACTCAGACCCAAAATAGAAACCAGGAATCACCTGTAATTTTTTCTTTATTCTTCAACCCCCTACATTCTGATAATCACTGATTCCTCTCAATTTTACCTCCTCAAATTCACTTAAATTTATCCCATCTCCTCCTTGCTGTGCTGCCTTATGCCTGGTTCCTTTGTCATCTCTTAGTAGGATTTCTTCAACAGTCCACTAGCCTTTATCCTTACCAATCTCCAAGTGTCAATCTTCCACATTTAAGCCTGAGATGTAAACCTGACCACATCACACCCCAATTAAGTGCTATGGTAGATTCCCATCACCTACCTAGAGAATAAAAGCCAATTTAATTAGAGAAACAAAGCCCTCCTGTAGCCCAGTTCTCTGTTCACCACCTTACGTCAACAATACCAAACTGCTTGCAGCTCCATGTGCAAACCTGCTGTTTTATGCCTCCATGCTCCTACCTGGGCTGTTCCTTCTATCTGTCTCCTCCTCTTTGCCTGGCTAACTCCTCCTCCTCCTTCAAGGCTCATGACCTCCAAAAACTCTTTCTCGGCCTCCCCACTTCCCATGGACTCTTCTATGCTTCCCCAGGGTAACATGGACATTGTTTTCACAGTAATGTGCTGAAACTCCTTCCCCAAAAGACTGTAAGCTAAAAGCATCGACTGGGTCTCATTCTGGTTGTACTCCTAGTGCTGAGCAAATTGCACCAAAGAATAGTATTGGCTGAATTCTAGAGATTCCATCATTAAGTCCTGCATACCATGTTCCAAGAACTCCACCTCACCTGTACTTGTGAACGCAACTGATCTATCTTCTGCCGTTGCTTCTCCACAATCTGAAAGACAAAGTTATCAAGGAAGGCTGTCATCACAGGCTTGTTAGGTCAGAGGGCAAGAGGCTGCACTAGATTGTGGTCTGGCTATTAACCCCACTGCCTACAGCCAGTCAATAGTGATACCAGGGTGAAGACAAATTAGCTCTACTTACAGAAATCTAACCCAGACACCCTATCTTACCTAACTAGCTTCACATTCCTGTACTCCACTCAACAAAGAGGTTTAAACAGGAAGGTAGTGTGAAGTATGACCACTACTGGGTGTGGGGCCCTGATAACTGCAGGCCAGTGGAATCAACTTTATATACATAGAGAGCGAGCGGGGGAGAGAGAGAGAGCGCTAGAGTACATTCTGGTTCTTTAGTAAAGGATATGACTAAAAACTCAGCTCTAATGAAGTCTGCTCCATCCAGGGCTGTGAGAATTGTTGCTACTTATAGCACTGGTCACAGTGACTGTCCAAGGGGAGAATCTGAATGGGCCTGTTTCCCAACCTTTGAGAACGCAGGTATTCTCTGAACCATTTCTGCAGCTTTTTTGCTGATCTAGTCTCACTGGCAGGCACTGGGCTCCTTCTTTGCTGAGCGATGGCCATCACTGGTTAGAACTCTGCCCAACACAATGGGGCCTGGGTCATGAATGAAGTGTACCAACCTTCAGTGCACCATTTTGGAGCATCCAGTCTGGATGTTCAGAGGCATGTCCTCCCCTAACTGCCTGCCTATGCTAAGGATGAGTTATCTAAAATGCAACTTGTTATACAGGGGTCACGTCATGAAAAAGAGAGAAAAGCTCTAAGCAGCAGATCTTAGATGGCCTGGGGCCAGAAACTCACAGTTCCTTACCAATACATTATCTCTTTTTTCTCAGCCTGCCCCATTACAGCCCTGACACCATTAGTCACCTTTCGGAGAGAATCACATTCCTTTTGCCAGGACTCCATTTCCATTTTTGGACCTTCTCCCTGTTGGGCTAGACCTTCTCCACTGGCCATCTCCACACACCGCTTATCTTGAAGGCTGAAAGACAGTGGCCTCTTCAAGAAATCTGAAGTCAGAGAGATGTAGATTTGACTCCTGGTTCTACTATTTACTGTGGGTTTTGGGGCAAGACACTTAGGCCCTTCCAAGCCATAGCTGAGGATAATGTATTAGGTCTGTTGTAGTCAGCTCCCTGTCCTAGAAGTCAACATCTATAGTTGTCTACCTGCCCAAGGCTCTTTTACTCTTTGTTTCAATATTTTAAAAACAAACTTTCATCACAAGTATCTAGATTATAAAAATCATACATGTGCATTGTAGAAATTTTGGAAAATATAAAAAAACCTCCTTTTTTCTTGGCACATAGTCTGGGGTTGAGTCAGCTTAGTCCCCTAACCTTGCTTCTGACTCCAAGCAGTGGTCTCCTCCAGTGGGTGCCCACAACCACTTTCACCATGGCCCGTCTGCTGTGATAAACAAAGGGTCACTGTGGTTGAATATGGGATGAGAAATCCAATCCATCCCATTAGAAAATGGATTTGGTCCAAGAGGCTACTGAAACACAGCCATCACATTTTCAGAAACTGCTATTAATATGGAAGAGGCTCCCAAGATACCCTGAGGATACATTATGGTATCTTGTTTTGTTCTCAGAACCTGTTGTAGCAATTGAGAGTAATCCCCAGGGCTGAGGAAAAACAGATGCTCTTGGCCTTTAGTTTACAAGGTTTGAAATGTGGACAGCACTCCAGTCCTCAGCATCAGAATCTACTTTTGCAAATATATAGATAACTCATCTCCCAGTTTATGAAATGCTCCCATTCATTCAACACTATATACTCAAGAATTATTACTATGTCAAGTACTGCACTGGATTCTTCCAAAGGATTCAGTGATAAGGTCCCATGTGACCACTGCCCCCACCACACACTCCATCTCAAAAACCTGTTCCTTGCCCAATAAGCAGCTTTCCTATTACTCACAATCCAAAGAAAACAAAGCTCAAAGTGATATGCCCAAAGTCACACAGGTAGTGAGTGGGGTAGTCAGAACCAGAACCTAGCTCTCCAGTTCTTTCCTCAACCCCACTCCTTTCCTTACCTACGTCTAGTGGAAGAGAATTCTGTTTCTCTCTGTCTCAGGCTTTCCAGCTGAACCTCCTTCTCTCTGCATGCTGCCTGGGTCTCCTCCAGCAAACTCTCCAGCTCTGTTACTCTCTCCTGGAGCTCTGTGCTCTTCAACTCAGAATCCTTAAGCTGAGAGACAGGATCCCATGCTTAGGTCAATAAGCCAAGGAAGGCTTTGTTTAGGTATCTCAGAAAATGTGCAGTCCAGTTACAAATTTGACAGATGTGAGTCTGGACATGACTCCTTTGGGATTTTCCTTTCAGGAGGCCATAAGGTAACTGCGTACAGCAGAGGCTGTAAAGTCACCCTGCCTGGCCACTCCCTGCTTGCCCCAGGTATGCCCAGACATTGCTGTTACCTGCTGGCTTTGCTTCTGGTGGTCTTCCAGGGTGGGGAGGTCTGCCAGATAGCGTTCCAAGGTCTCAATACGCTGCTGCTTCTCCCGGTTCTGCTCAGATTCCTTCTGACATTTCTTTTTCAAATTATTGATATGTTTATCACGACCTTTGACCTAGGACAGAAATGTCAAGTATCTGCCTCCATTAACTCTTTTAGGAGACTGAACATCAACTTTTTCCCCAAAGTGACCACTCTCTTAAGGCTGTAAATGTTTTACTGCAATGAAGGCAGGAGGAAGCTAATCAAATTTTGCCATTTGAGATTAGAGCATAAACTGCGGAGTTAATACACTTGAATTTTCCAATCAAAGGGTGAGGAAATACGTAAATGCCACGGTGGACTCTGGCTCACATGAATAACAAAGACACTCCTGTTATTTGGGAAATTCTAAAAGTTTAGAAGTTATTTCCCAGGAAACTTCCTTCCTCCAAAGCAAAGACCAGACAAATTCTTTATTATATAAAAATGCTACCAATTTAAGAAAACTGCCCAAGCATTTATGCTATGAGGTGACTCAGAATGGGGGCTGGTCACTAGAAAGACCAATGGAGTTGAGCCCAATTCCTCTGAGGAGGGGAAGGGGGCAGGAGGTTGATTCCAACCATGCCTACATAACAAAACCCCAATAAAAACTTGGGACACTAAAGCTTGGTGGAGTTTCCTGACTGGTGAACACATGGCTGTACCAGAAAGGTGATATGCCCTGCTTCCAAGGGGAGAAGGAAATGGTAGCCTTACTTTCAGGACTTTCCCAGACCTCACCCCATGTGCCTCTTCATTTGGCTGGTTCTGCTTTGTATCCTTTATAATAAAACTGTAATCCTAAGTATATAGCACTTTTCTGAGTTCTAAGTTATTCTAGTGAATTACTGAACCTGAAGGGGTCATGGGAACCCTTGGATTTGTAGTCAGTTGATCAGAAGTATAGGTAGCCAGGGGAACCCAGAACTTGCAGCTGGCATCTGAAGTAAGCACAGTCTTGTTGGGGACTATGTGCTTAAACCTATGAAGTCCAATGCTAACTCCAGGTGGTCTGCATTAGAACTGAATTGAAGAAGTATATACAACTTCCCTGTAGATGTACAACCAGTCTGTTCTGTTCTGTTGAGATAGGTAATGCATTCTTCCCTGAACACTCCACATGATATGAACTGAAGTAATCATATGGAAGGGCTAATGAGACTATAAACTCCTTGACAGGATAGGCTGTGCTCATTTTGCTCATTATTATATTCCTGACACGTAGCGTAATGCTTGGCACAGAGCAGGCACTCAACCAAGCTGAATGGACACTTTTTCTTCATTATTAAGGCTTTTTATTTGACTTATGAAAAGGAAGTACAGACCTAATTTAATCCAAAAATAAGACAGTTCCCTGAAAATCAGCCACAAGTTTTACCCCAGGTATAATCTGTACCTTTCGAGCTCTGATCAGTGATTCCCACATTTTAATATTTATCAGAATCAGCTGGAAAACTTATTGAAAATGCTGATAGCCAAATTTGAATTTAAGAAATGGTGGACTGCCCACAGATGTTTCTCTCTTCTCCATCTCTAAAATGACAGGGATAAATGAAATATTAATCTAAAAAAGTCAATAGAGGAGACAAAAGTATATGAGAGATTTCAGTGTTTTCAGAAGATGAAAGTAGAAGGGGATAAATGACTTGGAGCACAAGAGTTACAATCTGCAGTGGGTGGAAGTTACTGACAATGTGGACAACTAACTAGGTGTCCTCATGACCCCCAAGAACCTCTGTACTCAAAGCATCAGGAACCTCTGAGGCAGGCAGCAGCTATACAACTGAAAGAGGGGGGGATTCACTGGAAGTCTGTATACAGGTTAGCTGGATACCATCCTCACTCTAGGTTTCCCCAAAAGGAGACTGAAAATTTATTCTCTGGAGAAATCAAATTAGAGATTCCAGACTCAGGGATATTAGTCATAGCAGAAAGAGAGAGTTCAACACTGGGAATAAGTTTAAGTAAAAAATCTATGTTCAGAACTGTGGGACACTAAGCCAATCTCCTTCTCAATGCTGAGAACCTAAAGGCCAGAGCATTCCTGTCCCCAGCCAGGCAGCAGGCTGAAGATTCTTTCCTCAAGAGAGTGAGATAAGACATTCAGATTCTGATATTTAAGGGTTCCCAAGTGAAGAGGTAATCTAAATCTGACCATCCTTCAGTGAAGTCCACCAGGCAACTATCACAAATCCAGAGCTTCCGTTCAGCTTTTAAATACTTCATTCTTAAATATGGGTGCCTACACATTCAAGGAACACCAAGCCTCTAACTTGAAAGATGACAAAACAAAATAAAAAGGACCTGAAGGGCACAGAACACTCCAAGCAGATGTAGACATCTCAAAAGGTATAAGCAATATAATCAGAAAGAAAAGATACTGCATCCAAGAAACAAAAAAACAGTAAAAAAGTATAAGAGAAGAATATTTTTCCAAAATATAGAGGTATATACCAAGAGAAAGAAAAGAGTTGAGGATGGATAGGTTTGTGGAGTGGGGCTGGGCAAAGAAATACCTATTTTTATTATAAACATATTGGTATTTGATTATTTGACTTACATACATGTATTATTTTGATTAAAAGTTTCTTTTTTAAACAAGCTTCTAAGTTCCTCGCTGTACCAATGGCACCAATATCACAGAGGAGCTTGTCAGAAGTGCAGGATCTCAGCCTGCCTCCCTCCAAATACTAAATCTGGACCTGCAATTTTAACAACACCTCCAAATGATTCTTATGCATATAAAGAAGCACTTAAGAAGCACCACTCTAGCTGATTTTGATGCAAGTGGTCCAGAAGTAAACATTACTTAACCAGTCCCCCAAGAACATTTGCATTACAGTAGTTGTGAACAGAACCAAAAGATTTTAAGTTCATTCCTCTGTGATGACCAATCTTACCCCAAGACAATTCTAAGGACACTGGCAAAAATGTAAAAGCTCCCAAACTGGTTGCACATAAGGAATTCTTCTCTACTTTTTAGGCAGAATGAGGAGAAACCAGCTGAATGATGTAAATTTACTATAGGTATCTTGAAGGAGTACCATTTGGTATGACTACCCAGGCTGGTTTTCCATCCAGGCCAGTTGGCAGCCCACCACAACCTGGGGCAATGGGAGATGATATGACTTTACCTGTCTGTGGTAGTTTTGTGGAGATGAAGCAGAAAGGAGACCATTTCCAGCAGATCAGCCTTGCGTGGTAAGTCAATGTAGGATCTTACCCAACTGGTTCCTCCTGGTTCCAAGAATGGGGGCCAGGTACAGCTTAAGGTTCACAGGAGAGGACTGAATGTCGACTCCTTTGTGAACTAGAGATTAACAGCTCTTTAGCTTACCCTTTCTTCCTGTTTCTTCCCCTCCTCCGACTGCTTCTGCAATGCCATTTTAAGTGACTCTCTGATGAGCTGGACTTCAACTTCCGAAGTAGAGAGTTTCTTTTCAAGCTCAATTTTTTCTTTGCTCAAGGCTTCTGTCTTCTGTGCAAATTGTGCACGTAAGAAAGTGTTCTCTCGCTGCAACTCCTGCAGAAAGATTCTCAAAACATAACTGTTCCTTCCCCTTATAGTCCCATGTATTTTACTTATCCCCAGGATACTTAGAGAAATATCACCTTTATCTAAGAATTTCTTCAAGGAGTGCTTTTCAAAATGTGCTTAAAGGACTAACAGCTTCAGCATCATCTACAGATTTGTTAGAAATGCAAATTCTTCAGCCCAACTCCCAGGCCCACTGAGTCAGAAACTCTGGGGATGGTCTCAATAATCTATGTTTTAACAAGCCTTCTAGCTTGTTCTGATGCAGTCAAATTTCAGAACCACTGCCTTAAAGCAATACCTGAGGGACTGTAGCATAATGTAAGGAACACAGAACAAGGTATCAGAAGACCCAGGCTCTAAAGTTCTGGTTCTCCTCTATTCATTACCTATATGATCTTAGGCAAATTCTTCCTCTTTTGTGGACCTCAATTTTAGGCCTACTAGGTGGCAGACCAGTACTATAATCTGTCTAATACCCATAATTCAAAAACCCAAACTGCAGAAGAAGCTTGGTCAACAAAGCAGGCTTCTTTTAAAGCCACTGACCTCACTAAGAATATGGGTCCCTTCAGTTGCTCCTAGACATGGAAGAATAAAAATGAGAATGGCTCTAAATCCCAATTACCTCTGCCTCTCCCTCCTTTTGGCCAGGGCCAGATTAAGACTTTTTAGAACATCACCCAACTTTAGAACCTTACTACATATCTTGCTCTGCCTTCCCTTTCTCCCAAGTACATCCTGATATCAAGGCATCTGGACTTCCACCTGATTCTATCCCCAAGCTTTTCTATCCTACAAAGGCAGAACAAGGGATACTTTATAATTAGGATGTTTATTCTTTCAGGGCAGAAACACCTTACATCATTTGGTCTCTATTCTATCTCCTGTATACCTAACAGTACCAAGCCAGGGCAACACTGAGTTAGGGCAAGCTGACTGCCATCCTGGCTTAAGATTCTCAAAACATAACTGTTCCTTCCCCTTATAGTCCCATGTATTTTACTTATCCCCAGGATACTTAGAGAAATATCACCTTTATCTAAGAATTTCTTCAAGGAGTGCTTTTCAAAATGTGCTTAAAGGACTAACAGCTTCAGCATCATCTACAGATTTGTTAGAAATGCAAATTCTTCAGCCCAACTCCCAGGCCCACTGAGTCAGAAACTCTGGGGATGGTCTCAATAATCTATGTTTTAACAAGCCTTCTAGCTTGTTCTGATGCAGTCAAATTTCAGAACCACTGCCTTAAAGCAATACCTGAGGGACTGTAGCATAATGTAAGGAACACAGAACAAGGTATCAGAAGACCCAGGCTCTAAAGTTCTGGTTCTCCTCTATTCATTACCTATATGATCTTAGGCAAATTCTTCCTCTTTTGTGGACCTCAATTTTAGGCCTACTAGGTGGCAGACCAGTACTATAATCTGTCTAATACCCATAATTCAAAAACCCAAACTGCAGAAGAAGCTTGGTCAACAAAGCAGGCTTCTTTTAAAGCCACTGACCTCACTAAGAATATGGGTCCCTTCAGTTGCTCCTAGACATGGAAGAATAAAAATGAGAATGGCTCTAAATCCCAATTACCTCTGCCTCTCCCTCCTTTTGGCCAGGGCCAGATTAAGACTTTTTAGAACATCACCCAACTTTAGAACCTTACTACATATCTTGCTCTGCCTTCCCTTTCTCCCAAGTACATCCTGATATCAAGGCATCTGGACTTCCACCTGATTCTATCCCCAAGCTTTTCTATCCTACAAAGGCAGAACAAGGGATACTTTATAATTAGGATGTTTATTCTTTCAGGGCAGAAACACCTTACATCATTTGGTCTCTATTCTATCTCCTGTATACCTAACAGTACCAAGCCAGGGCAACACTGAGTTAGGGCAAGCTGACTGCCATCCTGGCTACCAATGCTCACCTGCAGCCTCAGCAAGCAGACATCCCCAAAGGGAGCAGGGCGGCCCAAAAGGGCACTGTGGACTTGTAGTTCACTCTCTCGCACTTTCTGCTCCAACTGAGAGATGTGTTTCCTCTGCCTGCAAAAACCAGTAGATAAAGTCCTGACACTAACCCATTTGCAATATGAGCCCCCTCTTTCCTTAGCGGATACAATCCATACCATGAAAGTAAAGGCCTTGGATTCTAGGCAATACTGTTTTGCTGCAGGAGGCAGAGCAAATGAGAAAGCTGACTGAGGAGAAATGAGGGAAGATCAGCTGCAAAGGACCAGATACCCCCCTGTAGGCACTCCTCAGAGCCCCTGCAGAGATACATAACTGCCCTATCACATCAGTCAAATATGGGACTAGACTGCTTATCAACCTATCTCTACCATGAGGTAAGGCTAAACTGAGGGAGATAGTCTGCCCTTGGGGAGACCTCACTAGGTGCCCTCAGTGGGGGACGCAAGAGCAGATGCTGGTCTTACGGCACCCCTTGCCCTCTTACTTGTCAATGAGGAGTTCCTTTTCCTTTAGAAGGTGTTCATTACTATTCAGGATGCTGATCCACTGTGCTGGTTCTAATGTAGGCAGTGAAGGAGCAAAAGCAGCAGGATGGTGGCAGATGGCTCCATTCTGAAGCTGCAAGACAAGCAGGCCCAGAGGGGCTTTATCTTAACCCACAGACACCTGAAAATACCCGAGCAGTACCCAGCCGGGTATGCACACAAGGCTCACTTTGGCTCAGGATGAGAAGGCCCAGTGTTTATGAAATAATTTTAGCTCTGATGCATGACTGGAAAGAACCTGCCAGGAAGACTCCTGCCAACTGGACACTCCTGCTCAGAAAGGCTCTAGTTTCTAAGAAAAGGTCAGTTATCTTTCATTATCTGGCAACAGAGGCAAACCAGGAGCTAAGATGTCTTCAACAAGAAAGGAGAATATGTCCTGCTTCTGTCCTTCACATCTTAAGTAGCACAACTTTTTTTTTTAAACACAAATGTGGTATAGTGGGAAGAATATAGGAGTTCAAAGATGGTTTTTAAACCCTAGCTCTGCCACCTACCAGCTTTATGACCCTGGACAGATAACTTAGTCTAAAAAACCTGGTAAATTTCTACATTTACCTCAGCGGGGTGCTGCTGTAAGGATTCTGTTATATTAAGTGCACAGCTTAGTGAGTGGTACCTAAGTATACAATCAATGTTAGTGTCCTACCTTTTGAGTTTTCCCTTGAAATCCACTACTCTGAAGAACCTATCTGGTGTTTAATTAGACCACCAATAGATTCAATGGCATTCATAAGCTGTCATTTCCCCCCTACAAACATCTTCCCTCTTACAAATGTTTTCTTTAAAAGTCAAAACTTGGAGGAAAAAACCTATGCAGTTCTAAGATCTGTGCAAAACTTGCTAAATCCAAGGGAAGAAGGGCCTCTACCTGCATTTGCTCCATCTGTAAACGGATCAACTCTAGCTGTTGCCGACATGTGCTGAGCTCACAAGATCGCTCACGGGGGTGCCAAGGGTCAGGATTCGGCTGCCACATCTGAGAGGGCAGAGGTTTGGAGAGCCCAGGAGCAGGCTGGAGTCCCAAAGGGAGTACCCCACTGCTGCTAGGATGTGGTCCATTCCGCTCACATACTGCCCCACTGCCTGGTGCCTTCTTGGTCTCTGGCAACACTTTGTATAACTCCTTGTTTGTTTCGGTTCTTGGGTTGTGGAAGTGGACTCGGTAGTGGGGATCTGAATAAAGCGTCTCCATCACTGCTGACTGATTGAGGGTAGACTCCATGCTGGGAATATCAAACCTCCTCACCTCTTCTTCTCTTTCATAGCCCACTGCTGGAAACCAGGACTGCTCAATTCCATTTTCTCCAGTAGTGCCACAAAGATACATGAATTCTCTAGGTAGGCCTGGAGAACGTTTCATCGCAGCAAGATCTCCATTTCTTGTCAGCGCTACACTTTCAGCCAAGCCTGGCAAAGAGAGTTTGGAGGAAGACGGTCCAGCAGGTGTAGAATTTGGCTTAGCAGGAGAGGTCCCCAAAGTAGAAGGTATCACGTGGGCTGTTGGAATGGTTATGTGGCTTTTGATGGGTTGGAAAGAAGGGCTGCTACTTGAGCTGCAAAAATCTGTGGAGAGAATATAAGTTAAAACTGAAGCAGCAAGCTTTCTTGAGTTTGGCTGGTATGCCAAACGTTCTCTGCCTGCCCTGAGACCAAGCACAGAGAGAACTATCCGCACAAGTATCAGGCATAAAGACACGGCAGCCTTACTGGAAGATGTGTGTTCTAGGATCTTAAATGCCATTCACAAAACAAACCAACAAAAGGCAACCCTAGTTTCCCTGTTATACTCTGTCCTTTGTATTTGAATAAAAAATGTTGTCAGCCAATAAACAAAGCTGAAAGCTAAACTTAAAAAGAAATCACTTACTTAAAGGAAATGGCTTAGGTCCTACTTTTCTGGGAGCTAGGAAACTCTAAGCTATAATCCAATCTAACAAAAATACCTTTTCCAAGGGCTGCCAGAATCCTGTGACCTCCAAAAGCTCCCCAGTGAAGGTAAGCAATGAATCTAAACCATCTGAAGGAAAAGGCGAGCCGGATAGTGCTGCTCTGTATCCAGGGCAAGGAGCACAGCATCTGAGAATCAGTATTCTGTTCTCGCTCCCACACAACAGACCTGACTG